CAGATTGCAGATATAACTCAGTTATGCAGTCATTTTTAAAGAAAAGCACATACTGGAAATGTGATGATTTGATGGTTAGACATGCTCTGTAATAGAATTCTTAGAAAAATTCAGTTGTCCTTGAGTATTTTCCTCCTTGACCATAAAATTCTTAACAACCTGAGTTGTTGTGTATCTATTTCTTTTCTTTTATGTCATGCTCAGGAGAAAATAAAACCCAATTTTTTAGGTTGAAAGTCTTGGTTCTTGTAACACTAACATGTACACACAGACGCAAAGGGGCAGTACTGATGCCGTTATTTCATGAGTCAAACATTTAAAATAAATGTTTGTTAGGTTTGTCTTTGAAGATGGGGTCTCACTTTGCTTCCCAGGCTGGTCTCCAACTTGTGTGTTCAATCAGTTCTTCTATCTCAGTCTATTTGAGTAGTAGGAACTACAGGCTCCTACACACCTAGCTGAGTCACTTAAAATAACTCCCCTCTGGTAGAAAAGCTGGCAGTCACCTAGATAGGTTCATCTTGTATCATTTGTCTATTCATGAGGCAACCCCCATTTTGTCTAAATTATTAATAAATAATTGGATTTATATAATTACTATTTATCTCACTCAGTATCTCTGGCTGGCCTAGAGCTCACAAGTAGACCAGGCTGTCCAGGAGCTCATAGAGAATTCCAGTCTCTCCTGGAATCAATTTGATTTTATAATGATGCAGGTGTTAAGGCAGAGGAAAGAGTTAGTCAGGGTGTTTAAGGCAGCCTCTTGTACCTGTTTCTTAACAAGGTGTAGGTGGACACTTTCTGATATCAGCTTCCCTAATGGTCTGTTGATGGCATTTGGCTGTTTTGGATATTGTTTTTCTACATGGTGCCCTGGTGAACAAGCTTGTCTTTAGACTTTGGGATGGTTTAGAAACCTTTCCCATGAGCTCAGACATTTGGAAGAACTTTGAACTTTGAGCCTGCATCAGGTGTAACCCGGGGCAAGCTTCAGCCTTCCCACCATTCCAATGCTATGGATCAGAAGCAAAGGAAGGACAGAAGGAGCTGCCGGAGACAACTCCTAAGGGCTCAGGGTGTTCTGGGAATCAGGAACAAAAAGCAGGAATAAGGGGAAGATACACCCAGTGAAAGAGGCATGAAAGTGTAGATGTGATTTCTCCTGACAGCATCATAGAGGACGACCTTCCCATGGTCATGATCCATGAAGACATCTGCTTTCCTTGGACGGACCCATGGACTCTCCTGGGGACAGCTGTTGGTGAGCAGCTGACACCTGGAGCCAGAAATGCCAAGCATCAAGACGCCATACAAAAGCTTCATCTGCAGATGGCCTAACCCCAGAGTGAGCTGGGAGATATTGCTCACTATGCAGACCCTGCTCAGCCAGGAGACCTGTTCTCAGGGGCCCAAGAACACCAGCTCGCAGGATACTCAGCCTGAGGAGATTGGGGGGTGTTGGTGGAAAGGATAAGGGTTGAGGAATGGGGAAATCCCAGAGTGCAGTGCGAAGGGTAGACACTTTGAGGTAGTGCTTCCATCAGAATGGTTCCACAGGACCCTGTGACCTGGCACTTGAATCTCTAAAGTCAGGTGAGTTTTTGGCAGGCAGAGGTATCCCAGGGGCCACTTCTCCATGAAGACAGCTGGCAATGACTGGAATACACATGGATTGTTTATGAGTTATGTATCTTGGGAAATCTAAGCCTCAGAAGCCCTCTTCAATTTCCCCATAACCTGAACTCTGAAACACCAATCCTTACTAGGGAAAGCATGGCAGAGGAGGGCTGGAATGGAAGGAACCAGCAATCCTAACTGTGATCAAAATATAATTTTCAAAGTCCATAAAATTATTTGAGCATGCGCACACACTGCAAGGGCCATTCTAGGGTCCTGGAAACTCTAGTGCATGCACAAGTAGCTTGGCTGTGGATGTTTCTCTCCAGCATCTGTGGCATGTTCCCTCTTCAGGCTGAGACTGCTCTGAACCTCACCAACATCATTTCTGGGCAATTAGCAACTGCTTGTGATTGTTCCGTAGGCTTTGATAAGACCCAAAGTTCATAAATTCTCCAGTTTCAAGGAAGTGTTTAAATTTATAATGTTATACTTTTGTGTGGTGCTTATCACAAATCAGGGGTCACACAGCTTGGACTGGACTCTCCTCTCTTATCTTTCCTTTCTCCTCAACTTTCCTTTCCTCACTCCTCCCTCTGTCTCAGGACAATCAAATATTGGAGGCTGGTGCTCAACCACTCAGTTCCAGCTCAAGATCTGTTCATTTAATTTTTTTCTCTGAGACTTTACGTTGCCCAGACAGACCCTGAACATGCAGTCCTCCAGTCTCAGCCTGTGGAGTAGCTGTGATTCCCCATCTGGGCCCCCATGGCTGCCTGGATTCCTCCCTTTGAACAGTTTCTATAACCCAAGCATACACAGTGTTCCATGAGGCCTGCTTTCCAGAAGTGTTCTAGGATTGTTTATCAGTCTAGTGAAGTGCTAACTGTCTCAATACATTTCAGACTAACTGGGCTTTTGTTTTGTAGCAGTAACACTTGAAATCTATTCTCAGATGTTTCCAAGGGAATGTAACCCCAGCAGTGCCCCACAGCTCTCCTGTAGCTTGTGATTAATGTCTCCCGAGGCCAGCCTTCCCCAGGCCCTGCCCTCCATCCATCCCCTTCCTCCATCCCCCACTCCCAAACCCTGACCATCACCATTCTGCTCTCTTCTGAGTTTCATTTCTTTTCTGAGACAGATTCTCACATAGGTCAGACTAGTCTAAAATTCACAGAAATCCTCCTATCTCAGACTGCTGAGAATTGGGATTATAAACTCATGCCACCACATTCTGCAACATTTTCATTCATCCATTGCTTGTGTTATTCTTGTTTTGAGATAGTTTCATGTAGCCCACAGTGCTCTTCAACTCGCCATGTAGACAAGGATGGCCTAGTCAGGTGCAGTGACCCATAGCTTTAATTCTAGAATTTAGGAGGCAGAGTAAGGCAAGTGTCTATGAATTCAAGGATAGCCTGGTCTACATAGAAGTTCTAACACAACAAGACCACACAGGCAGACACTGTCTCAGAGTAAACACAAGACAAAGACGGCCTTGAGCTTCTGATTATCCTGCCTCTAGCTTCCTTCCAAGTGCTGAGACTTGCAAGTCTCAAGTGCAATGGTTTTTCAAGACTGTAACGCTAGAATTAGAGCTATGGGCCACTGCACCTGACTAGGCCATCCTTGTCTACATGGTGAGTTGAAGAGCTCACTGGGCTACACAAGACTATTCCAATACAACCACATGCTTGCTTTCTTTGAGTTCAGCTTCTTGCATCTCATCAGTAAATGAAATCACACTTAGTACTTAGTTACTTCATGTCACCCGAGTCCCAAGAATCACGTCAGGCTTCCTTAAACAAAACTTTTGATGGCTTATACCATTTCTTTCCCTTCGCCCCACAACATATTTTAGGGTTTCCTATCCACAGGTATTTCTTGGCCTGGGGAATTACACTGCCAGTTTTGTTTTTTTGTTTGTTTGTTTTTTCATTAAAAAAAGAAAGACAGAAAAAGCCTGATATGATAGTGGCAGGGGAAAGACAGCTTTCACCTTCCATAAAGGAAAAAGAGGTGCTCGGTCCTGTGTCAGGAGACAGGTTCCCCATTGCCCACGCCAGAGACAGCTTCCAAAACACCCCAAGGCAGGGCTCACTGAAAGTGCCTGTTCTGAGCTGAGAGACAGACAATCCAGTCAGAAGAGTTTACAAACTGTACTGGGCATGGGGCAACCAAGCACGCACAGGACATAACCTCAATAAGGGCAACAAGCCTGGAATGAGGGCCCAGGTGGGGCCAGGTACAGGGAGGAGAGTGGGGTTCTGAACCTGAGCCTGCCTGGGTGTTCGCCAGCTACACAAGGAAGGAGTGTGACACTGAGCACCAGGGCCGGTTCCCTGCACCTTAAAGAAGTTGGTAAAGGAACATGGCTTTGTTTGGCCAAATCAGAGAGGGAAAGACTCCTGATTCCTAGCTTTTCTGAAGCACTCTTATGGTTTTATAGCTGGGGTGAAACCAAGCCAGGGAATGTGCTCATGCTAAAATGAGTGAGGCAGCCATTGCTGTGTCTGCGAGGCAGCTGAATTCCTTCTCAGACCTCAGCTTCTTTGTTCCCCAGCTCGAGGAAAAATGTGAATTATAAATACTTTATTTGTATTGCTTAATTCTGGTGACGAAAAAAAGGAAGTGTCTCTCTTTAGAGTTTCTCATCTCTGTCCAGGGCCATGGTTCCAGAGCTGTTAGAGTGAAAGGAAAAAACAGTCAAGGGAGAGAATCCATCACCAAAGTGTAGTTATCAGCTTACGTGTGACTGAGAAAATACCACTGCAGTTCATTCAAACCTTGTCAGTCCAAATTTAAAATCAGAGAGATGGGACTGGGATGCAGCTCAGGTGGAAGAGTTCTTATCTAGCACTCCCGAAGCCACAGGTCCCTGGCACCACATACACCAGGTGCGCAGCCCTGTCAGGTAGGCTCTTGGTAGGCAGAAGAAAGTTCCGGAGTTCGAAGTCACATAGAGGCTCCAGGGCAGCATGGCTGTGTGAATTCTGGGGAGGGTGGAACAAGGGCATGTCTGTGTGCATTCCCTTCTAAGAATGAGGACAGAGCCAGTGAGACCCGTCAGCAAGACACTTGCCAGCGAACCCACAACGTAGAAAGAGGAAATGACTTCCAGTAGCCATCTCTCGGCCTTCCCAGGGGACCAGAATGTGTGGGTTTACGCGCGCGCGCGCACACACACACACACACACACACACACACACACACACACACACGCTGCAGAAATGTAAAATAAATTAAAATTTTCAGCCGTGAAATGTAGCATGCCGTGTGTGGCTGCCCTGGCTATCACTTAACTCATGCCAGTGCTAACAGATGAAGCCGAGGACATGGATGTGGCCTGACGCAAAATTAGAAATTTAAATCAGACTGGAGGGTGGTTCACAATTTTGTTTTTAATTTGAAGACAGAGTCGTCGAGGACGACACATGGCTTTGAAATGTCGGAACGCTGCAACCCTGGTTGCAGACTGTCCTCATCTGGCTGCACAGGCCTGGCTGGCTGCACACGGCCTCTGGCTCCGGGTCTCAGGAAAAGAGGGGGCTCTGCTACAAAGCGCAGAGCTGAAAAACCTTGTGTTTCATCTTGGGGGTTTTCGACTGTCTTCTCCACTCGGGGAAAGAGGTGCCCAAGAAGGGACAAGCTTCATCCCCGCCGCTTGCATCCCTCGCCTGTCCTGAGGGGTAGGTGCGGAAGAGACTGCGGGGCACCCAAGGGAGCAGCCTTAGGGGCTCAGGGTGATATGGCTGCAGGCCGCTTGGAGCCCGAAGAGGGGGAAGACCTGTCGGTCAAAGGAGGTTTGGAAAGTGTAGACATGCTTGCCGGTGATGGCATCGTAGAAGACGACCTCCCCACTGTCGTGGTCCACGTAGACGCCCACTCTCCTGAGATGGACCCGGATGTTCTCCCGGGCATTGCAGTTGGTGAACGGCTGGCATCCGGAGGCTGAGATCCTCAGTGCCCAGATGCAGCTCACTGCGCTGAAGTTCTGACTCTGGGACCTTTGAGCCAGATCTGTGGCCACGCCCACCATGCACGCCCCACCCGAGGGCCCGTGGATTTGTGCTTCCCACACCTGGCGGCCTGAGGAGAGGCCTGGGGAGCCCCTCACACAGTGGAAAGGGTAGAAAGGTCGAGGTTTTGACTGCGTACTCGAAGCTCCTCCACCAACGATGTACAAGGTCACTTTCTTTAGATCCTGAGAAAAGGTGAGGCCTGGGTCAGCTGAGGTGACATCCAGGGTCACAGGGACTGTGGGAAAATAAAGAAGAGGAAAGAGGGGTAGCTTGTGTCAAGTCCTCCTGTGCCCTGCTTTTGAGCTTCTTGTGGTGCAGCTGGAGCAGAATTTCTGTTTCAAATCCCAGCCCATGTTCCCAGAGAAGTCTTGTTCTTGCCTGTTTTGGTTTTCTGAGAAAGGGTCTCAGGTAACCCAAGCAGCGCTGACCCCCACTGTGTGGCTGAGAAAGACTGTGAACTCCTCATCCTCCAGGCCTACCTCCCTAGAGGGCCACTGTGCCGAATTCCTTGCACTTCTCCCCAGCCCCTCTCCCCACCCTCCTCCATCCCAGGCCGCAAAGTTAAGCCCTGTTTTTATGAGGTGCTGTTCTGCGGGTGCAGAGGTAAGCTCCCCCAGGGCAGTGGTGGAATCGTTTCACAAGGAGGCCCTGAATAATTTGGATCTTGTAACAATGAGGGCATTCTTCTCCAGTTCCCAATTTTTTGGGTCTCAAATGGCAAACAGTTGGGGCTACTATGAGAGGTCAGGGCTCAGTCTAATTTTTCTAAAATGGAGTCCCTGAGGTGTGGGAGGTGCCTCAGCTGATAAGGCACTTGCCCCGAAGCAATCTGAAAACCCACGTGGTGGGAGACCAATTCCCCCAAGCTGTCCTTTACTTCCACACATAGGCACATGTACACACACACACACACACACACACACACACACACACACACACATACACACACCATCCAGAGAGAGAAAAAACAATAAAAGACTGGTGAGATGGCTTAGCAGGTACAGATAGTCACCACCAAAGCCCAGAACTGACGTAAAGATGTAAGGAGAGAATAGTTTTCATAAAATAGACTTCTGACCTGTACTCTGTGGTTCTTACCTCCATTGCACACAAACACACACACACACACACACACACACACACACCCTAAATACCAAGAAAAGAAAATATTTAACGTGAAAAAAGGAGAGAGAAGAAAGGGAACATCCAGAGGAGAGAGCCCACACCTCTCCCAACTCTTCAGTGAGACATCTGCTGAGTGTCCCCTAGAGGCTGTCTGTGGTGGGCCCAGAGCAGTGGGCACAGCCAGCCCCTCCAGGAACCTAGGGTAGGGGCTGTGCTTTGCTGCAGAGCAATGCTGAAGCAGTTGCCCCACAAAGGGTGGAAGTGGAAGGTGATGGAATAGGGCCCCAGTTTTATTGGTGCATCTGAAGACAGGAAAGGAGAAAAGAGAGGTCAGTAGAGCAACAGGTCCCGCTGAGCTCCAGGGGCAGCAGGAGGGACACGGACCGAACAGCAGGGGGCGCGCACTAGGGGTCCCCTGGTGCAGGCTAGGCCTTTCCCAGGAGGTACCGTTTGGGAAGAAGAGGTAGAAGAGAGGCCTGCCTCTCGCCCTACATCTAGCCATCTCTGGCACCTGGCGTCTGCACAATCACGCCCTTCCTCTCACGCTCTCCCATGGCTAGTCTACATCTAGCCGTCTCTGGCACCTGACATCTGCACAATCACACAGCCCTTCCTCTCACGCTCTCCCATGGCTAGTCTTTCACTCATCTGTCTGCTCTTTGCTTATTCCTGTGTCTCTCGGGGGAGCAATCCTTCATGCGGGGTGTGCTGCTGGCTAGGATGCTCTTCCTGGGGTCTGGTCTCCATCTTTTCCCTGCTGTATCAGAGCTGAGGTGTGAACAGTTTGCCTGGAGACCTGGAGGCCCTCTTTTCCCTGCAGGAAGACTAGTGTGCCAGGCAGAAGCCCTACCTGAGGTGGGCAACACTGAGTTACTCTTCTGTAACAGGCGCCCTAGAAATTGGAGAGAGAAAACAAATTTCAGGTTGGTAACAAGACAGTACAAATATTAAAGGCATAATGAGAATTGGCGACTGAACCTGGCTTTTACCTTAGTAACCCTCATAACTGAACCACCTCAGATGACATCATCACAGGCTATTGTATTAGATGACATCATCATAAGCTGTTGTATTAGATGACATCATCACAGGTTATTGTGTCAGTAGTCAGAGCTCCTCAGCTGTGCTAAGCCAGCAAGGTCCAGTAGGTCAGCTCTAACCATAGACTGAGCTGTGTCCACCTAAGCTTTGTGCAATGAAGAAATAAATTTATAAATTTCCACTTGTTTAAAGGACCTTTTAAACTAATGAGGGTGTCACTATGATTATCTAAATATAACATAACAAAACAATTCTATAAGCTTGCTCTCCATTGGTGTTCACACACACCTGGCCCCTTCTCAGTCTCTCAAGGAGAGACCCCCCCTTTTGTATTTCCCACTTTCCTCAAAGCACAGGATCAGCTCACACTTACAACTCTCCATTTCCTCTTTATTCAGGCTGTCCAGGAATGTGCTTTTATCTCTCTTCCCTTCAGCCTTCAGGTTGTCTGTAAGGAGAGAGTGAAGAAAATGGAGAGTGCACCGAGGTTAAGCAGATAACAGGACCTCACATCGAGGCACTGATTGCCAATGCTGGGAGAGGTGGGGCTGGGTTTCTCTCACAGTGTCAGTGAATCCAGATGGCACCAAGGAGGGAGAATGGCCCCAGGGCCTCCCCACAGCAGCAATCCAAAGCAGCTCTGTGCAGAGCAAACGCTTTAGGAACCACAAACATGAACCACTAAATTTTGAATTTTCTAGATACCATTTTGAAAATGTAAAAGACCAGGGCATGCTGACAGTCAGGAAGCTAAGACAGGAGGATGACAACTTTTAAGCCAGTATATGTGAGTTCCAGAGTCTGGGCTATTCACAGTGTCTCAAAAGAAAATAAAGTGGGGCTGGAGAGACGGCTCAGGGGAGAAAGGCCAGTACTTTTAATCAGTGGGCCCAGGCTCAGGTCCCAGCCACTGAAACTCCAATCCCAGGAAATCTGGCACCCTCTTCTAACCTTCGTGGGCCCAGGCACGCTCATGATACTTGCACACGGAACACCCATACGAATACCATAAATAAACTTTAAAAAAGAACCGATTAGCTCAGAATTTTAAAAAATATACTGCCATTTCTGCTTGTAGAGTAAAAGGTTAATGCCACCTGGGCACAGTGCTGGGTGCTGGAATCCCAGGTACTCAGAAGGCTGAAGTGGGGGACCCTCTGGGCTCTTCAGTAAGAGGCTACCCTAGGCAACACGGTGAGATTCTGTCTCAGAAATGTCTTGTTGCTGTATTTCTGTTTGCTTTTGTTTTCATGGCCGTATTTTATGCTCTCTTCTAAGGCTTTCAGAGTCACTGTGTATTCTTTACCTGTGAGAATGTTATATTCTGGTGCCCAGGCATACAAGCGGCCATCAGCAACCAGTCTAACCGCATGCTCACCACGGTTCTGAGCTTTGGCACTGGGGGTGTAGCCCCGAGGCTGGTCAAACAAACACAGAGCCCTGGGCTCCACCCTGGGTACATTAAACCTGCAGAGGCCAACAGCAGGAGGAATTCTACCATGCTTTGAATGTCGTCAGCATCCAGCCTGGCTTCTGGGAGGCCTAGGGGCCCGCACTGGAGTTCAGGCAGTGATGGAGAGCACCCTGAGGCAGGAAAGCACAGGAGGTAATAGCCACCCTCACCTTTGAATTCCTTCAGGGTTTCTGTGATGGACTCATGTCGTGCTTTAGCGTCACTGCTTTTTTTCTCCAGGCCCACAGGAACTGGGGTTGGGTTGAGAAACTTAAATTCTTTACTCCTGTGAAGACATGGTGATGTGAAGGGTAAGTTCAAGGGATGGAATCCATGCTATCTCCCTGTCCACTAGTTCAGGGGATGGAGTCCACGCTATCTTCCTGTCCTCTAGGCAGGAAGAGCCTGTGATATGGGTTCCTGCAGTGGAGACAAAGTGAGGAATATGGTCCCGAGCTGTGCGTGTAAGCTGAGTGTCAGGAGGCCAGCACTGGGGATATAGGACTAAGAGAGGTCAGACCTGAAGAAACATAGAAATGGAGATGGATGCAGAGTAGGGAAAGTGGGTAGGGAGGTAGAGTCGCATCCACTTGATCAAGAGGAATGTGCAGGGGGAGCTGGGAAAGAAGCCGGGTATGTGGGGACAACAGCTGTGCTTTTACCCAGGGACCAAGTTTATGGCCGAGTTATGGAGGATGTGAACAGAGTTGGATATATGCTAAATGTTGTTTATGTGAGTGAACCAGAAAGCGCAGTTCACTGGGGATGCCCATCATACCTGCTCAAGATGTCTTTGATGTCCTGGAAGAGAAAGAGAGAACAACTTCAGAGCTTGCCTATGTCCCCGAGAGGGGGTTCTCAGCTGGAGGCAGAAGGAGGACACTGTTCCTTTCTCTTCTCTCTCTGCCTCTGTGTTTGTAGCTCTCTGTCTCTCTCTCCTCTAATCTCCGTCTTCTCTCCTCTCTCCTGCCCATTCTGGAATGCTACCCCCAAAACTCCCGCTATGGATGGGACAATGTTTAAACCTCAGGAGGAACAGAATGAGGAGAGAATAAAGAGTAACATTTGGGAGATGGATTTTGCCTCTGATATGGAACTCAAGGTGGCCGTGTCAGGACAAGGGATGGAAGGTGCTTCATGGGACTCTTCAAAGAAAACAGAACGAGACAAAAAGGAAAACCAGAAACTAGGTGTGGTAATCCCAGCCCTTGGCTGTTCCATTATTCCCCCTTTTTTTTCCTAAGACAGTTTCATGTAGCTCAAGCTGGCTCAAGTTCTCTGTAAGCCAAGGATAGTCTTGAATTAATGATTCTTTTCTGTCTGACTCCTGAGCACTGAAATGGCAGGAGCGTACTATTATGTCATTCTCCAAAATTAATTTTTACTATTTTAAATCTAAATTTAAAAACTGAAGCATTGTAAATGCCCTTTCAGTTAAATACAGCTTTATTTATTTAGTAGGACTAATTACATTTTCCCTCAATAACCGATGCTTTAGCGTTTGCATTGAGGCATGCACGATATAAACTAGAGTTGAAAGATTCAGAACCAAAAAACACTCAAAAATATAAAATAGCTCATTAATATGTTTAAACAGGCTGAAATGATTACATTTGGAATACTGGGTTAAATAAAATGTTCTTATTGAAAGTGCTTTTATCCTGATTTTTTTTTTTTTTTTAAAGGCAGGGTCTCAGTAGGTAGCTGTGCGTGGCCTGGAGTTCCATATGTAGACCAGGCTGACTTTGAATTCACAGAGAACTGCCTGTCTCTGCCTCCCAAATGCTGTAATGAAAGGTATGCCACTATAACTGATTCTTTTTTTTTTTCTTTTTAATGTAGCTGTTAGAAATATGGCTTGAAGTATATTTCTTTTTATTATATTTTATTTTTAAGATTCACTAGTAAAATGTTTTATTTTTATCATCTGTTAATTGTGTGTATATGTGTGTCTGTGTGTGGGTATATGCATGTAAGTGCAGGTCCCTGTAAGACCAGAGACATCAGCCCTGCTGGAGCTGGCATTACAGGTGGAGGCCAGTGGAAAACTTGTGGGATTTGGCCCTGCTCTCCCCACCATGAGGGTCTTGGGGACGGAACTTGGGTCCTCAGGTTTAGTGGTGAGTGCCTTTGCGCACTGAGTCATTTGTCTGGCCTTGAGGTATATTTCTAAGTGGCAAATGCGTCCTATGTTATAATTCTATACGCGAGCTGTATAGCAGCTCATGTCTAGTCTCAGCACAGGAGAAGATCAGGAATTCAGTGTTATCCTTGCTTACCTAAACATTTCAGGCTGCACGAATCCTGTCTCAAACAACAAAAACGTCTAAGTTTTGTATGACTGCCTTTCTTTTTCTTTTCCTTCCTTTCTTTCTTTCCTGTGTGCGTGCACATGTGTGTGTCCAGGATGGCCTCGAACTCCAGTGAACCAGGAAATCCTCCTACCTCTGGAGTGCTAGAATTACAGGTGTGAGATGACATGGCCAGCGGGTTGAGACAGTGTTTTGATCCTTGTTCATGTAGCCTTGCACTAGCAACTATCTTCCTGCTTTAGTACCCTGAGCCATGGGAGGGGCTCTGGTTCTCAACCCTCCTAATTCTTCAGCTCCTCAATACAGTTCCTCATGTTGTGGTGACTCCCAACCATAAAATTGTTTTTGTAGCTACTTCCTAACTGTAACTTTGCTACTGTTATGAATTATAACACAAATATCTGATATTTCCAATGGTCTTAGCAACCCGTGTGAAAGGGTTGTTCAAACTGCACAGGTTAGAACTGTTCGGTTAGGTGAAGAGCAGGAGTTGGCGGATTAGTTCGGGGAATCAGGTAATGATGATAATAACCCACACTTCATACGTGAGGCTTATTAGGAGAAAGGACATGGTTAGCATGGGGCCTTGGGGTGGAAAAGCATTAGAAAGGAACAGTGCATTAAATCAGAGACAAAATGAATGGAGCCTTATGGGGAGGGGGAGACTTCCCTCTAAAACCTGGAGAGGATCTTTATCAAAAGGGATTGCTTAAAGTGAGAAAGATAAGGGTGGTGGATGGATGCCGGGGTTGAAGGGACTGGGGAAATCTCCCAAACGAAGGAAAGAATCTGACTTTTATATCTTTCCAGGGCGTAGTAGGAGCTTCTCAAAATTTAGATTTAGGTGACAAAGGGCGTGGAGGAGCCAGGTATTAGGAGCTGTTAGACTGCAATATAACACAGATTCTCAACTCTCTTTCTCTCTCAGAAAGTGTGTGTGTGTGTGTGTGTGTGTGTGTGTGTGTGTGTGAGAGAGAGAGAGAGAGAGAGAGAGGGAGAGAAAGAGAGAGAGAGAGAGAGAGATTGCTCCCAAAGGACTCACCTTCAGTAGCTCTATGGATGGTGCTTGTAGCCTACATTTCAGGGAGTTAGTGAGCTTCCTGAGGGAGCTGAGCTGCTGCTCTGTCACGGAAACATACTGTCCCAACTGCTTGGCTCCCTGCTGCTCCAGCCAGTCCAGCCTGGACAGGAGAAAACGCTCCTCCTCGTCCAGGCTCTGATGCAGGCGCTTGAATTCCTCGAGGATCTTTAGTTTCTCCAGATGTACCTGGGCCTGGGGACAACGGGAGGGATGGAGAGATGAGATGGGCATGGCGGGGGGGGGGGTTTCCATGCCTCCTTCAAGCCATTATCCTCTATCTGCCTGCCTGTCTTTCTGTTTGCCTGTCTGTCTGTCTATAGGGAAAGTCTCACTATATAGTCCTGGGTAACGTAGAACTCACTAAGTACAACAGGTTTGTAAAAGGAACTTTTATTTGCCTGTTTTAATTGTCATCTCAGAGGCCTACAGCCTCCTGCTAACTAAGCCTAGTCCTGGAAGCCTCCATACCATCTAACTTAGGCCTAGAACGTTTTCAGCCTCTGAGACTTACTGCTTAATAAGTTCACCCTTTCTTGTTCTTACTGAGCTCTGGGCTGGCTGGTTCAACTCTGCTGTTCTGGTTCAGATCCTCTCCCAAGTAGACTATTCAGTCTGGGTTCTTCTCTTGGTCTCTGAATTGCTCTGCTTAGCCTCAAACTATCTCTAGCAATCTGCTCTAATGTCTTGGCTCCTCCTCATTCTCTGGCTCATCTGGTCTTCACCTGAGTTCTCTCTCTTTGTAACCTGTCTTTCTGTTACTGTCCTGGTAAAACTGCCTCCTCTCTCTCTCTCTCTTCATTGCCCCATAAGTAGCTTCCCTTTCCTCTCTTTTCTCCCAAGAATTGGGTGTATCCTATTCTGTTAACTGTTTCTCTCAATTATCACCTTTTCTGTCTCTCAATTAGACACCACTTTTAAACATGGGATTAAAGCTGTGTACCACCATGCCTGGACTTAAGGTTTTCTTTACCTGATACTTGCTCTATAGCAGGCTGGCCCTGATCTCTGATCTGCTTGCCTCTGTCTCCTGAATTAAGGCAGCTAGATCACACAGGCCTGGAAAATCTTTGGATGTGATTTCTTTCCAGTACAGCCATGTTCTGAATTAACTTTCTTCTGTGCACATTGGCCTTGAACTCACAGAGATCCACCTGAGTCTGCCTCCTGCATGCCAGAATTAGTGGTGTGCACTGCTACCTAGCACCATTTACTCTTTAAGCATATTTGATGACTATGCTGAGATTAGTTTATAACAGCCTTCTGGGCCATGCCTGCGGGCAAGGCAAGGCAAGGAGACTAAATCACTTCCTGCATTCACAGATATAGGCGGGTGCTTTCATTTACCTTCAAGGACATCAGCTAGATGTGCTGGTGCACAGTTTTGCACTCTCAACACTGGGAAATGCAGGCAGGAGATTCAGGAGGCCAAGGCCAGCCTGGACTGCTTGAGCCACAGTCTCAACAAACGATCGTGGAAGTTTTGGTTTCTTTAAAAACTCAGTTATGTAATGTAAATATGTTTTGGCTGTAGTCCCAAGTGTGGGGTACAGGACTGCCTTAGCTTATCCACAGCTGATCACAGCCTCAGCTCAGAGAGGGGGAGGGTCTTTGCCAGCCAGGGAATTATGGAGTGAGTGGAATTCTGAGGACTCTGGGAGAGTATAACTACCAGCACGGGGAGAGGAGGGAGGGAGAGGAAGAGGCTTTGAGGAGGCAGAAACCTCTGGTGGCTGTCCAGGCAGTCAGCTGTCTCTGTCATTTCCATAATTCTGGAAGCTGCTTGCTTTATGCTTCCTACATACTTAGGTAATATTATTTCCTTCTAAAGTCTCTGATGGGGTTGAAGACTAGATAGTTATAGTCTTGCTAAATTAAGCTTAGTTCTTTAAGAACTAAGACAATGTTTCAAGTCTAAAAAGATGTTTCTTGGTTGATAAATGTAAGTTAGAAGAAAGTGATTTAGGTACAGAACTTTGGACTCACCAGGGAAGGATAGATAGTGGAATAGTTTTCCAAGGTTGCCAAATACAAATGGGCTGGACATTGTAAATGTAATTATTACCTGATAATTCTCATATTTGTTCTTATTGTATAGTTTATTAATGTTAGAAAAAGCCATTTTTTAAACAAAAGGGGGTCATGTAGTGGAAGTTTTGGTGTCTTTAAAAACTCATGTTATGTAAATACATTTTTGTTTTAATCCCAAGTGTGAGATATGGGACTGCCTTAGTTTATCCACAGCTGATCATTGCCTCATGTAGAGCGTGTTCTTTGCCAGCTGGCAGCAGCCTCATGCACTCAGAGAGAGGTGTGGTCTTTGCCAGCTGCAGATAGTGGAATTCTGAGGACTCTGAGAGGGAATAAACGCCAGATCCCAGAGAGAGAGAGGGGAGGGTGGGTTTCGAGGAGACAGATGGAAGAGAAAGAAGGCTGCCTGTTCATCCTGCTCATTTGCCATTTGCTGCTGCCATTCTGCTAGATATCCTATCCTAATGACTGAGACTGGCCTTTTCACAAGGAGCCTGACCACCTTCACCATCCAGAACTAATTCTACAGAGGTCTATGTCTAAAGAGGTCCTTTCTCTTCTAACCAACCAATCAAACCAACAAGTCCCGAAAGTTGGCCCAGGGGTTGAGAATGCTTACTGCCCTTCCAGTCTACCTGAAAGTCTTACCTACGTGGTAAGGCAGCTCACAAATACCTGTAATTCCAGTTCTTCCGGTTTCTGCCGGTATCTGTGCATAAATGTCGTTCAATCACACAGACACATACACACATATAAAAATAATAAAAACAAACCTTTAAAAAATGCAAACAAAATCCGGTGGAGATTTTTGGCGGTGTCACAGACTCTGTGGGTTTGTTTGTTTGATTTTGTTTTTGTTTTTCTGTGTAAGTCTCTAGTTAGAAAGGGCCTAGGCGAGCCACAGCCTGCTGTGGGTGGAGGAGCAGACTTCCTGGTCCACTGGTGCAGCACCCAGGCAGTGGGTCAACACAGCTCAGGGGCACGGCTTGGGCACCACCCCCTCTGCTCTGCCCCTCACCTCTTGTCAGCAGGACTATGTTCTGCTTGGTGTAAGGAAGGCCAGGAGTGTCAGCAGAGATGCCTCGGTTTCCTTGAAAGTGTTTGGAACGAGTATTCTTACCCTGAGTACCCGGATTTCTCCTTCACCTTGCTTCTTCTCTTCAATTATTTTTTTGTCCTTTTGCTTCAAATCCTGGGACTGTGACTCAATCTGCACCTGTAGGGAGAAGGTGCTTCAGTCAGGCTCTGCCTCCTGGGAGGCAGGGAAGATACCCCAGGGTGCTGATGTCATTATTAGCAGCCCCCTTTTTTCTCTCACTAGGAGCAAGGGGGGTGATGGAAAGAAATGGAACTTTAGTGACTTGAGAAAATATTACTGATGACATTTGGATGACACATTGGTTTTGTCAGAGAAAGACTTCCCCTCGTCTGTCCTACCATCTTCTTTAAGAGATAGATTTCATCGGCCCCACAGAGAGGCAAGGCTAGGACCATTCAGGGGATGAAGCTCAGTGGTAGATAGAGCACTGGCTTGTCTGGCTGTCCCAGGCCCTGCTTTACCTCCTCTGGAAATTAGCAGTGGCCAGCTGGGAGAGGAAAAATGATTTCTTGAAAGTTGTAAGTAGACTGAGGAGTCTGGACTTGAACCAGTAGATAGATAGAAGGTCTATCTCTGAGACCTTCAGAGATAGAATTTGCATTTAAAAAATAGTATATTATCAATTGTGTGTGCAAGTATAGCAGAGTGCCAAGGTGTGTGTGTGTGTGTGTGTGTGTGTGTGTGTGTGTGTGTGTGTGTGTCAGAAGACCGCTTCAGGAGTGAGTTCTCGCCTTTTATCTTGCATGTCCTGGGGATCAAAACAACTTTCTCCTTCCACTATGTGGGTCCTAAGGGTCACAACCAAGCTCTCAGGCCATCTCACCTGCCCCAAAGTATCATTCTGACTCTTCTTCTCCTTGCCTTGGTTATAGACTGGCACTTTCCAGAACTCAGTTCTTTGAGCCCACTGGGCCTGCCTCAAACTGCCAATTCAAGTACAAAAGTGTGGCAATAGGAGCCAATCAGCTGGAGCTGGCAGCAGCTCCTGTGTCTCCAGGGAACTCTGCTCTGCTGGGCTGGGGACAGAGAAGGGCCCGAGTGCCTACCTGGTAGTTCTGGGCAGCCTCATCTATCAAGGTGACACTGTGGGATCTGTGGTCCTTGGAGTCCCGACACACCACACAGAGGAACAACCCATCCTGCTCACAGAAGTAATGCAGCTTTTCCTTGTGCTTCTGACACCTTGTGTCTTCCCCTTCTCGTTGGATCTCACCAGGATCCATAGCCTGGATTTTCTCTGCAAGACTAGCCAACAGCTTATTGGCCCGGAACGTATTCCTATTCACAGAGACTTTGCAGAGAGGACATTGAATGTTTTCTGACGTTTTCCCAACCTGACCGATGCACTGCAGGCAGAAGTTGTGACCACAGTCAATGGTGACAGGCTCTCGAAGAATGTCTATGCAGATGGGGCAGGTCACTTCCTCCAGCAGTTTCTGCTGTTGGCCTTCCATGATGCAGCAGCAGGGCTATTTGAGATGTGAAACCACACGTCCAAGGCAGACACCAGTGCTGGGAAGGAAAAAGGAAGCAGGAGGCAGAGGTTGAAGAGTCTCTCAGGGGGAGGACCAGAGAAGGACAGATGAAGAGGGGGTTAAGTAAATGAATGACAGAAAAGAAACTGAAATGGGGACTACTGTAGAGAGAGGGAAACAGATGGTCAGTCCTACCTCAATGTCACTCAAGAGCAAACAGACACTGTGGCTGCAAGCTGTCTATAAAGGAGAGCAAATTTCCTGGACCTTGAACTAATTAAACTGATCTTTCCAAAGCAGTTTCAGAGAAGAGAGGGACAAGGCATCAAAGTCCGCTCAGCTGCAGTTGGGGTGTGGCAGCCTCAGGAAGGTGTGTTATACCCCGACCTCATACCCCGCCCCGTGTATCTGCCTCCCCCACCCCATCTTCTGTTGGGCTTTCCTCCCTGTCTATGGTGCCCCCCCTTTGTTCTGTTTCAGCCAGCCTGTTTCTTTCCCTGTTTCTGTACTTCTCAGACCTCCAGGTGGCCTGCCCTGTGGCCTTCTTCTCGACGAGGGAAGTCCCAGCCAGTGTCACAAAGGTCTCTTCTGTAGCTCAACACTTCAGTTCTTGTCCTTCCTTCCACATTAATCTCACATGTATTCTATTACTCTCTCTTAGTCCCACTACGACCTAGTCCCCTTCCTTCTGCTCATGGTCTCCCAGAGCATTAATTGCTGCTTGATACTTTAAATTAAAAGACTTTCATTTAATCATTGATAATTTCATGTATGTATACATTCTATCTTGATCCATATCCCAATCACTCATCTTACTCGTCCCAGATTCCTCCCACATGCCCCCTCCCAACTCCAGCCTTTTCTTCTCATACATATTGGGGTGTTTTTGTTTTTGTTTTGTTTGTTTGTTTGTTTGTTTTGAGCCAATGTTTCTCTGTTTAGTCCTTGCTGATCTGGAACTTGTTGGGTAGACCAGGTTGGCTTTGAACTCAGATTTACTTGCCTCTGCCTCCTGAGTGCTGGAGTTGAAGGCGTACCCCCACTGCCCGGCTATTTATATTTTTAAATAGTTGATTATTTTTGTATAAGGCTGTTTTTCCTGTATGTATGTATGTAGGTGTGTGTGTGTGTATGTAGGTATGTGTGTGTGTGTGTAGGCATGTGCACCATGCGCATGCCTGGTTCCCGTGGAGGTCAGCAGAGGGGTTCGATACCCTGGAACTGGAATTACAGATGTTAGTGAGTCCCCATGTAGGAACTGGAAACCAAACAAGTGCTCTGGGCCCTAAGCCATCTCTCCAGCCACTATTCATGTTTATGTTCTTGTTTTTTATTCTTTGTTGGTTTGGTTTTGGTTTTTTGAGACAGGGGACAGGGTTTCTCTGTGTAGCCTTGGCTTGCTGGACTCGCTGCCCCTGCCTCCCTGAGTGCCGGGATCAAAGGTGTGTGCCACCACGCCTGGCTCCCTATTTATCTCTATAACACACAGTCCAGGGGTGGGGAAAACCGCACAGAGTCCAGTTAGAACCGACCACATACAGATGGTGTGGGCCCATCGCCTGGAACGCAGGCACTACAGTGCCACAACCCCAGCGAAAAGAATTCTCCTTCCTCACAGCTATCAACGGCCAAGCGCCCCTCAGTGTGAGGTGGGGCCGTCCAGGCCGGAATGTGGACTGGCCTGAACGTGTCCAGGTAACCACAGCTAGCGAGTCATGCGTGTAAGGCCATTACCAGGTCGCACAGGGTGTGGGTGATTTTACGGCGATAGCCCCAATAATCATTCATTCTGATTTGCCAGAGACAGTCCTGACTTTGCTTTTGTTCGGATATAAATGTCAGCAGCACTTCCTCTCGTTCCCAAAGGCGTTCACTCATAGTATAGTGGTCGCTCTGATTATAGCAACTGCTGAAGGCCGAACCCTCCAGAAACACCTTCCTTTCACTTTGATTTGCTCTCTGGTTGAATTTAACCAGACATCTGTGTAGGTTGTGTAGCTTGCATTCACACTCAGCTGTCAGATAGAGGCAGAGCTTAAGTTATTTTTAAATTAAATTATTTCTTTAATTTAAAATTATTATCTTTAGAATGTATTGCTATTAATAAATTCTTTACGAGTTTAGATAGTTTGCCTGTATGTAGGTATGTCTGTGAACCACATGCAATGCTCCTGGAAGCCAGAAGATGGCATCTGGATCTCCTGGAACTGGAGTTACAGATGGCTGTGAGCTGCCCCTTGGGTGCTGAGAATCTAACCTGGTTCCCCTGGAAGAGCAGTAAATGCTCTGAACCCCTGATCCACCTCTATAGCTCCCAGAATTTAATTTTCAGGTGAGCTTTGCTTTGTTTGTCTAGTGCTTTAAGAAATAATGGCAATTGGAATGCCTAATGAGGGTGACTATTCCCCACCCTCCCTATTTTATTCTGGACTTCCAGACCCTGAATCTTTTTTTTTAATTTACACATTTCTTTTGTACATAGTATTTCACTTAAGTCTCACCTCTAAACCATTAATATCTGTTGTCCAGGAAACTTACCCTGCTTCAGAGTCACTTAGAATGTGCAACCTAAGGCTGCAATCCCACCACTTGAGGAGTAGAGGCTAGAGGCTTACGGGGTTATCATGAACTATGCTTGACCATGTCTCATAAAACAAAAACAGGGGTGAAGAAATGGTCAGTGCCTAAGAGTACAGGCTGCCCCTGTAAACGGCTATTTCTCTCCAGCTCCTGTTTAGAGTTGCTTTTTTTTTTTTTTTTTTTTTCATTTAAAGATTTATTGAGCAGCTAAGGATATAAAGGTATTAAAGCATGGTCAAAGAGATGAGGCATATGCACAAGTAGTAGAAAGCAGCAAAGTTCTCTGCCTCACAGGAGTGAAAGAAAAATGCTTTAAGAAAACAAGAGACCGCTTCCAGCGTGCAAGGGGACATGGATGGCCAATAGGAAAGGGGACTGAGATTCAAACAGGAGACTTCAGTCTGGACTGTCGATGGCACTCAGTATGGACTATATCTGTTTCTCTCCTCTTCCTCTTTCTACGTCGTTGGGCTTAACTTACAGTAGTGCCCAGGAATGTTCAATGCACTTTTTCTATACTTGCTTGCATTTTTGCCTTAATGTCTTCTACAGAACTAGGAACTTTTGGTATTTTAGGAGTTTTTTCTTGTATTTTGAAGGACTCTTAACTCTTTGGTCTTGGTGTTGATGGTTTTAAGTCTTTTCCATTTTGGTTTGATTTTTGTGCACTTTTTTGCTGCTGTGTCTCATACAGATTTCTTCACTGGAACTTTTCAGCTTCCTCATCATCAAAATCATCATTCTCTTCTTCATCATCCTCATCCTCTTCATCAAGTTTTACTTTTTTTTCTGCAGAACCTTGTTACCACCTCCAGGGGCAGGTCACTTTCCAGGCATCCTTAAGAGTTTCACATTCTCCTCATCTTCATCTTCTGACTCAGCACCTCCCCCCACAGCTACAAGGTGCTGTCCACTGATGAGCACAGGCCTGAACCATACTGCAACCTTAAGACCACAGGGGGTGCCATCTCAGAGCCCCCAAGGAAACTGCTGGTTGTACAGACATTTTCACAGTTGCCAGTGTTACTTTAGTTGGGCTGCCTTCATAGAGCATTGCTTCTGCCTCTACGATGTATTTTGTCTTTTGCCCCTGCCCCTAAACTGACCGTTCTTAATGAAAGCTGGTGCTCATTTCATCACTACCCACTTTAAAGTGATATTCCTTGCAAGCCTTTAGTTCACAACCGAAAAGGTAGTTCTGAGGCCTATGAGGGCTCGTGTCTGTGCTCATCAAGTCTTCCATGAGGCAGAAGCACACACTTCAGTGTGAGAGAAGTCAGACAAAGAAAACTGCCTACTGCTCCTGAGAACAGACACGCAGGATGGAATCAAGCCAAGCCTGGTTAGAGTTTTCACATGAGATGTCAGGGCATTTTAACTTTTCTTGGGCAGTGACCCACCTTAAAATTTCTATCAAGCACAAAATGTCACTCATCTGTGTATTGTCAAATCCCTCTTGCAATTGCTAAGGTGTGTTGTGAGATTTTCTTTTGAGGTATCAGTGTTTTATCATAAGTCAACAAGCAGAATTCAAAGAGTCCCCTGTGCTCTGAAGCTCGTCTTTAAATCAATCCTTTAAAAATCTAGGTATAGGTTTGTTTGTTTTTTTCATTTGAAATTAAACTCATTAATTCAGCATTTCTTAACCTCTGAGTCATGACCATCAGAAAACACATGTTTCTGGTGGTCTTAGGAACTGAGACACTGCTCCTTCATAAATTACAGTTATGAAGGAGAAAGAAAAATAATTTTGTGGTTGGGGTCACCACAACATGAGGACCTGTATTAAAGGGCACAGCATCAGGGAAGTTGAGAACCGCTGCTTTAGTTCAATAGGTTACTATTTTGTTTGGAACTGAAAAAAGCTTTCTTTTTTTAAAGAAAATAGTGAGTGTGTGTGTGTGTGTGTGTGTGTGTGTGTGTGTGTGTACATGTGTGTGTGCCACATGTGTTAGTGGAGCTCCAAAAGGTAAGTTAGATTCCCTCAACTGGAGTTGCAGGCAGTGTGGGTAGGAGGAGCAGAACTTCAGTACTCTGGAAGAGCAGCAAACACTCTGAACTGGTGAGCCATCTCTCCAGTTCAAAATATTCTCTTATAGCTTATAATTTTCTATAATTTTTCTTCTAATTTTTAATGTCAGAATGACCTCCACAGAATTTCTGCAGGAAACATACAATGGTATGTTTGTACAAGCAATGGTAGCCCGTGGTCCACAGTCTCACGCGCTGCACTGTTCATTCCCAGGGAAGAGCCTTCTGACTAGACACGGATGAGACCGGCAAGATTTATTTACCCACCGATTTATGGTGTCTCATATCCCGCGCCCTCTGACTTTGCACTTTAGTCTCTGGTGTCAGGTGAATTCCCGGCAGGCAGAGGTGTTCTGGGAAAGCCGCTTCTCCATGTGGTCTGGCAGTAACTGGAATATACACTCACCAGATACCTTAGCAAATGCAAGCCACATAGGCCCTCCTCACCGCCCTTAGCCTGCACCCCGAATGCCAGTCCTGACAAGGAAAAGCACGGCAGAGGAGGGTTGGAATGAATCAGCAAGCCTAACTTTGGTTATAATGTATTTTGCAAATTTTACAAAACTGACATGAGCATGTGAACACGCGGTGAGGGTCCATCGGGGCCTTGGGAGACACCGCACAGAATGATGAGTCTGGCTGTGGGTGCCACACCCGGCTGAGCTGGGGCACGCATCTGCTCTCTCCCACCCTAGCTGACTCCACGCTCAGCCCCACCCACCTCCTTCTCTGCATTTACCAACTCTTTTTGCTTCTCCCGACTCAGGGAGGTTGAAAGCTCATGCATTGCTCTACTGCAAGGAGGCGTGTAATAGAATCGCCTTATGCTTTCGTTGACATAGGTGTGTCCAACAACTCCGATGACCATCCCCTTCTACCCAAGAACCACTTTCAGCCCTCGCTGCAGTACCTACAGCCCAGATGTCCACACTGCTCCAGCTGCTGTGCTTGTTGGACGTTTCCTAAGACTGTAAAGAAGCATTATTTATCTGGTGAATGACTAGTTACCTCAATAAATTTTGGGCTAATCAGATTTTTGTTTGCTTTTGTTATAATACTTAAAATCTATTCTCAGCCAATTCGAAGAGACCGCGGTCACCACAGCAATACACCACAGCTTCTCGGTTGCCTTCCAAATGATGGGATCACAGGCACATGCTACCATGCCCTGATCCATTTTGCTTGATTATTATTGCTGTTGCTTTTGGGATCCTGTGTAGCTCAGGCTGGCCTCCTAGAAACAACTCACTGTGTAACCAAGAATGACCTTGAACCTCTGAGCCTCCTGCCTTTACCTCCACAGTGCTGGAATCACAGGCACGAGCCACACCAGCTTGAGTTCAGTTTCTTTGGTTTTGGTTGTTGCTGTTTGGCTTTTTGAGACAGGGTTTCTCTGCGCAGCCTTGACTGTCCTGGACTCACTTAGTAGACCAGGCTGGCCTCGAACTCACAGAGATCCACTTGCCTCTGCCTCCCTGAGTGCTGGGATTACAGGTGTGTCACCACACCTAGCAAGTTCAGTTTCTTATACTCCACTCTACTTGAGATCACTACTGAGTGTTTGAGGCTATTCCCTTCCAGCCACTGGGTAGAATTCAGGGGCTCTTGCTAAGAGCTCTCCATGTCTCCAAAGGCCCAAGAGCTGCCTCATTTTGGGGGATCCTTATGCTCAGACTTAGAGCCTCTAACCTTTCCCGTGGTTTCCCTAAGTGCCCTCTGGATCACGTAGCTGTATTCAACACGTTGACCAGCAGGTCCCTGAAGCTGGTGTTCACATCCTGGGTAGAGGATGGGGCTCATCAAAGGACACAACTGCAGGGCAGCAAGGATTTCTCATAGGCACACTTACTTCCTTGGTTCCCTTGCTTCTGGTTCCCTTGCCCCTTGCTTGCACCTTTCCTGTGCCCATAAACAAAAACTGTTGATGCTACAGCCATTTTCTCTCTTCCCCATCTATATATTTCAGCTACCTTTCTTCAGCCATGCGTGTGTGTGTGTGTGTGTGTGTGTTGACCATGCCATAGCATATATGGCATAAGGACATGAAGAGATCAGAAGATAAACTTCAGGAGTCTGTTTTCATCGTCTACCTTGTTGAGGCATGGCCTGTTTCTACTGTGGAGTATGCCAGGGTAGGTAGCCTGAAAGTGTCTGACCCAGTCTCCCACCTGCCTCCCATCTTGCCTTGGGAGTTCTGGAATTACCCATATGCACATCCAGCTTTAAAAAAAAAATTAATTACAATTTATTCATTTTGTATCCCAGCTGTAGCCTCCTCCCCCATTCCCTCCCTATCCCACTCTCCCTTTCTCATCTCCTCCCATGCCCCTCTCCATGCCCCTCCCATGTCCACTGATAGGGAGGTCCTCCTCCCCTTCCTTCTGACCCTAGTCTATCAGGTCTCATCAGGACTGGCTGCATTGTCCTCCTCTGTGGCCTGGTAAGGCTACTGCCACCTCAAGTGGAGGTGATCAAAGAGCCAGCCCATGAGTTCATGTAAGAGATGAACCATATTCCTATTATTGGGGAACCCTGTTCCTATTATTGGACACTGAGCTGCCATGGACTACTTCTGTGCAGGGGTTCTATGTTATCTCCGTGCATCGTCCTTGTTTGGATGATGTCTAACAAAAGACCCCTGTGCCCAGATTTTTTGGTTCTGTTGCTCTCTTTGTGGAGCTCCTGTTCCCTCCAGGTCTTTCTATCTCCCCCTTCTTTCATAAGATGTTCTAGGGATGGAAATGAGGTCATCAAACTTGTGTGACAAGCATTTTTATTCACTGAGCCATCTCTCCACTTTCAGCCATAAGAAATAGCCTGGAGAAATGGCTCAACATAAGAGCAATGTTGCTCTTTCAGAGGACCCAGGTTTGATTCCCAGTACCCACCTGGCTCACAGTTGCCTGGAACTCCAGTTACAGAGCATCTGATACCCTCTTCTGACCAGCATGGGCATGATGCACAAGGCACACATACATAAAAATAAAATCTGAGAGGGGAAGGGGAGGAGAAGGGTGAAAGGGAGGAAGAAGGGGAGAAGGAGGGAGAGGAAACAGAGAAGGGGTAGAGGAGGAGGGGTAAGGAGAGGAGGAGGGGTAGGGTGAGGAGGAGGAAGAGGAAAGAAGGAGGAGGTGGGGGAGAAGAAAGGGGAGGAGGTAGGGAGGAAGAAGAGAAGGGGAGGAGGAGGGGTGAAGGAAGAGTAGAGTGGTGGAAGAAGAGGAGAAGGAGAAGGGGGGAGGGGGAGGGGGAGGAGGAGAGGGAGGAGAGGACAGGGCAGCAGCAGCAGCTTCCAATCCTTAGAGAGATTCTGAAGCAGAGTCCTAGACTGGGGAGCAGCACCACCTGCTGTCTGCACAGAGACAACTGCTAAAACATTTGGCTGAAGAAGCCACTCCATCACTCTACTTTGGGCAGCTTCAGGTGGTTCAGGCTGGGCTAATTTAGAAGGTACACTGAACTTGAGTTGACCAGATGATATCTCAGGCTGCACATAGATAAAGTTGATAAGGAAGTCAAAACAGAAATCAAATGGGGCTAGGACTGAGGGAGTTAACCCTGTGTAGGGTTAACTACAAGAGAGAGTGAATTCTGAGCCTGGGCCTGTCTTGGAAGTTCACTTCACTGAACCAGAAGGGAGTGTGATGAGGCTCTTATGTGAATTAAATCATCTGGTCACATAGTTTCCCTGTATCAGAAAAGGAACTGGGAAACAGAAACTCTTAAAGAAAAGTGGCTTTGTTTAGCTTGGCCAAACCAGAGAAGGAAGTGCTTAGTCCTCACCTTTTCTGAAGCAGTCTTACAATTCCGTAAGTCTGGGTATGCATGTGTTAACAGGAAGTGAGGCTGGCAGAGCTGTGTGAACTGCCTTTTCTCACTGTGCTTCCTCCTGTGTGAAACTCTAGAACATTAAATCTTTAGTATCTGTTTGTCTGGTAGCCAAAGGAGGGATGCTCTGACTCTCTTTAAAGCATTTGGTCTCCCTCCAGGGTCAAAATCCCAGCATGCTGAGAGGAGAAAGAACCAACGGCCAACAGAGAGAATCCAAGGGGATCGCATTGCTGTGCACATCACAGGAATTTGTTTAGCATTGTCAACACAAATTTTAAAAATCTGGGTGACAGGGCTGGGACTGTATCTCAGCTGTGGAGTACTTGTCTGGTGAATTCAAAGCCCTTAGTGTGACTCCCAGCATTGGTGGTTCATGTCTGTAGTCTCACAACTTGGGAGGTGAAGGCAGGGGGGTCAGAAGCCAAAAGTCACCCTTGGTTACACAGAGAGTTCAAGGCTAGCCTGGGCTATGTGAGACCCTGACCTCCCTCAAAGGAAAGAAATGCTTCTTGTGGTTGTTGTTGACAAAAAATCCATTTTGTTTGTATTCTGGCAACTTACACATTTCTCTCATGGGACTGCAGAACTGGGGTCCCACATGTGTGAGGTTCTTGGGGCTCACTCTGTGAGTCAGTCCTCAAGTCCTGTGGAATTTGCATTAAAAGCTCCAAGACCTTCCTCTTCCCGAAAGCAAATATGCCACACCCTGCAACAAAGTCCATCTAAGTACTCAGCCCAGCTCATGGGTATTCCCATTTTCCTGACAATTGAGTGCTAAAGCAGGGCGAGTCTCTTCCACCTTCTCCCTAGTTTTACAGACACTCGAGTGTATATAACTGGCATAATCAAGAAGAGCTGCTCACCTGCTGGCCTTCTCCCTAGGTCTGGAGACAAAGAAAATTACCTGAAGGTGAAGAGGGGAAATCTGAGGTAGGGTAGTAAGACAGCCAGCTATCTGGGGGAGGGTGCTCAGACAAGAACTGGGAGGAGACATCCTTCTTTGGTTCATTCTTGGAAGTAGTTTGAAAGGAAGGAACAAAGTAGTCTCAAATATTGTATGTTCTCCCTCCCTCCCTCCCTCCTTCCCTTTCCCCCTTCTTCCCTCCTTCTCTCCCTTTCTCCCCACCTCCTGTTCTCTTTCTCTTTCAACATGAGATCATTGGTGGTTAATAAAGACTCGATGACCAGGTTCCGCCTTAAGTGGCTGGTGGTACTAAACAGTAGCAGTGAGCCCTGTAGGGTAACAGCCCAGGAGGGACACATAAAACCCTGGCTGAGTTCTCCCCACCAGCCACACAGTAGAGAAGACTGTCAACTTCTCATTGGTAATTTACTCTGGCCATGACAATGACATGATGGCCTAAAATTTAGCTTTGAATTGTGACGTGGTTACACAGAAAGCTCTCAAAACTGAATTGGGCTTTAAATCATCTGCTTCATCCAGGTGCATGAAAAATAAAGAATGGTTTTAAGTTTAGCAAACGCTGGATTGTTTCTGAAATTTCTGTGTTTGTTACAGTCAAGATTCTGGCCTCTCCGATACTGGGTGGATAGTGGCCTTAAGTCCAGGCCTGAGTCCACTCCATTCTGCTCCAGATCAGCTTCCACTGAGCCCTCTCACCTGGGACTGTCCGGCTTTCAAAAGACCCAGAGGGCAGGCTGGTGAGGTGGGCATCATGGTCCCTCCGAACAAGGACAACCAGGAGGACATTTGTCCCATCTGCCTGGATCCCCTGAAGGAGGCTGTGAGCACCGACTGCAGACACCGCTTCTGCCGCACATGCCTGACCCAGCACATGGATAAGGCCTCTGTGTCTGGGGCTCTCAGATGCCCAGTCTGCAGGAAGCCCTGTTCTGAGGGAGTCCTTGGAGACTATTACATCTGCTGCAGCCACCAGAAGAAGGTGTGCAGGTTCTGTGAGGCAAGCAGACACCTCCTGTGCATGGAATGCCTCACATCCCCTGAACACCAGTCCCACACTGAGCTCTCCATCGAAAATGCCATCAGCCACTACAAGGTAAGGCTGTGTCACCCCGCCAGCCCCTGCCACTAGGAGTTCCTGCTTCCTAAGTCCAGCTCCTCACAGAGGCTTGGTAATTGATCCCCCTTCCAGTCTTCTGCATCACCCAACTGGGAGCCTTGGTCTTTGCTTTGCTGCGAACCTCTCTGCTAATGTAAGGGTTTCCCGGCCTCTGCATGCCTATGTAGGCCATCCTGCTGCTGTGATGGCAAAGTCGCAGGAAGTATGGGCCCCTGTTGGCACATGCTGTGCTACATAATGTGCTAGCTAATGAGATGCTGTACTAGACACGGAGAACCACTGGACTAAGATTACATGGTTCCGTGGTGGATGGTTCCAGAAGCTAGTCAGGGATGCAGTCAAGATTTATCTGTGCTAACAGTTATCTTGCAAAGACTTGAAACCTGAAAACTTGTACGTGGTGTCCTGTTTAACCCTTTCCTTCCTTTACTGATCAGGATGGTTGTTTCTTGTTTTATTTAATTTTTTTCTAAAAATGACTCATGCTTTTTGTTAGTAAATTCAGGCAACACCAAAAGATAAAATATCAAAACTAAAAATCTTGCCTCTGGGGTAGAAGATAGTTGAGGGTAAAGAAGCCGTCACCAAGCTTTTTCACTGCATTTGATCTTGGGGACCCATATAGTAGAAAGATGGAAATGACTCCCACCAACTGTCCACTAACTTCCACACAGGTGTCATGGTGTGTGTCCCCTTCCAAAGAAATAAATGTAAGAAAATAATAGTGAATCTTTTCCCCTGTCTCTACTCATTCTCAGCCTGCATGGGAAATCAGCATTAGATTTCTTTTAATCTATCCTTCCAGAAACAGTGTTTGAATGTTTTCTTTAAAACACACACACATGCGTGCACACACACACATACACGAAAGACGGACAGACAGACACTAGGGAGATAGCTCAGTTCTAGAGTGCCTGACATAAATGAAGCCATGGGTTCAATCCTCGGGACTTCAAAACAACAACAAAACCCAACAGTGAATGCGTTTGTCCATTACTGTGTCTGTATATGATGTGGTGCTGGGCACATGGAGGTCAGAGACAGCTTTCTAGCGTCAGTTCTCCCTTTTACAATGTGGCTCGCCAGACTTGGTGACAAGTGCCTTTACCCACTGAGCCATCTTTCTAGCCTCTCCTCCCCCATCCTTTCCTGTATCTTGTTTTTATCATCTAAAATATGTTTGGACATTTTTCCATTTTTTTTCCTTCAATGCATCTGGATTTCTTGAACGTCTTTCAAGAACTGCATTCTGGCGGGTCCTGTGAATGGACCATAAGCTAGAAAACTAGGTTACTCATGGGCTACTGTTCTTAGATTACAAATAATATTATGATAAACATCTTTTAACATATGTCTTGGAGAAGTTAATATATCTAAAATATTTTGGTGAAAGTATATGATGGAAACCTAACTTTACATTTTCCAATTTATAGTAAATTGTCCCACCGCCAATTATTGAGTGTTCCATGCGACTTCTGTCCTGCTTTATTGTTCTGTCTATCCCTGTCTGTGTGCCAAGCCCCCTTTTCCTTCTTCTCGTCTTCCTTCCCATCCTTCTTTTCTCACTCCTCTTCCCCTTCCTCCTCCTCCTCTTCCTCCCGTAGTACTTAGGATAAAGATTGAACCTGGAGTCTTGTACATACAGAGTCAGCCATGCTGTGCTAAGCACACAGTCTTCTTTTTTCCTGTCTATTTTGAGACAGACTCATACTTTGATTCCCTTGCTACAGCCTGCAGAGTAGCTAGATTTCAGGCACTTGCCACCAGACCCACCACATTAAACTGTTTTAAGAACTGTACATTTGTAATGTGACCAGGTTTCACTGTTTTTCTTTTTGTAATTTAATTTATTTCTATTATATGTGCGTAAGTGTTTGGCCTGCATGCATACATGTGCACCACATGCAGGCCTGGCACACAAGGAGGCCAGAAGAAGTCATCAGATCTTCTGGAACAGGCAGGTGTGAGGGGCTGTCTGGGATCCAGGCCCTCTGCAGGAGCAGCCAGTGCTAACCACTGAGCTTCTCTCCAGCCCCATTGTGTGTGTTTCCTGAGGCAGGAAACTTAATTACTCTGTAATCGCAGTTAATCTGAAACTGGTGGCAATCCCCCTGCCTTAGCCTGGAAGGTGCTGGAATTACAGATACATGGCACCTACTTTACTTAACTTTTTCTGCTGTTTTCCCCTGCCCCAAACTTCTTGCTAGGCTACATATTCTTCTTCCCAAGCCTTAATTTTTTTTTCTTTTTCTCTCCTTTTCAAAACTGATTTTTAAAAATAGTTCTAGGGTTTGAACTCAAGGCCTCATACACGCTAGGCAGGTGTTCGTTCCCTGTGCTATCCCACCTCCTCAGCGTTGCCATTTCCTTGCCAGTTATTCAGAGATTAATTAAAGGCATACCTTGTGCACCTGCTAATCTGCCAGAGAAGCCTGTATCGCCTGGGGATGTTAAAACTGATCGGTTCTGCGGTTTCCTCATGATGTGATATCCTCAAAGTGAGTTCTAGTCATTTCAACGTCTCCTGTGGCGTGGCCTCGCCCAACCTGTCCTTCACACCGTGGTTGCCTCCTCCCCCCTAGGATCCCACTCTCTTGACTCCCCAAGCACCTACCTTATGTCCTTAGCCAGGTCTGCATACTAATGCCTGCGGACGAGAGCTGCTGTTGCCAAGCACATACGAAGTTTAATCCCCCAAAGTTTCAGGGATGCCATGGTGGAAGGCAAAGCTAACCACTCCCTGCTGCCCTGTACATGCTTCTGTGCCATGTCTTTCCACTCACTAATGAAGGCAGAACAGTTTCCTGGCATGTGTGAGGCCCTGGGTTCAAACCACAGCTCCACAAAGAAAAAAAGAGAGAAAGGATACTCAATCACTGAAAATCTTCCTCAGCCCTGAAGGGAGCATTTGCAAAGTTTTTCACATAGTTGGCCTTTAAAGAACATTGTCGTGATAGGGACCAACAGACGATGGGGCTATAAGTTGGAAATGAATGTAGAGGATGATCAGGGAGCTGGAAGAGCAATGCTCTGCTGTACCTACTAAGTGTAGAGTCTACAGCAGAGGGGTCAGGGCTTCCATGAGTCAGGTGTGCAGGACAGGACTCCTCCATCCTTACATGATTGACTCAGGTCTGTGCTTTCCATAAGGTGTCACAACAGGCATTGGAAGGAAGTCCAAAGGTGATTCATGACCACTGACTTCAAGTGCATATTTAACTAGTAACAGGAAGTACGGAAAAATAAGAATGTTTGCTCATGTAAGGGAAACAGGGTCTGCTGCACGTGCGTAAAACAGTCGGTGACAAACAAGACCAACGCACTTATTGGAAAGGCAGACAAGAAATAAAAACTACGGGTGTTTATGGCCTAAGAAGGAAAGTGACGAGCGGCCCTTCTTAGAGTGACCAACCAAGGCCGAATGGAAAGTGGCATTGAAGGTGAGACTCAGAAAAGAACTGCACCAGGACACAGACTAGGTGGGGGAACAGATGGAGGATCCAAGCCCATCCAAGTCCTGCTACACTTGACGAATTGATAATCAGGGTTTGCTTAAAACTGCTTTAATCAATAACGTGCTTTTTCACGTTAGCACACAAAGCAATGGTTTGGAGGCAGTGTGGCGGTGCAAGCCTTTAGCCCCAGCACTTGGAGACAGGGACAGGCTGAGCTCTGAATCCCAAAACATTTTGGGCTACACACACAGTCCTGTGGGTGTTAAAAGCTCAGCAGTTAGGAGGGAGCATTGACTGCTCTTTCGGAACACCTACGTTTGCCTCCCAGGACCGACGTCAGGTGGCTCACAACCACCTGTGAGTGGTCTTCATAGGGTCTGGTGTCTTTCCTGGGCCCCTCGGGTACCCACACACATGCACATACTCATACACAGATACACACTCATGCACGCGGCTAAACATGGAAACAAATCTCTAAATATGATTATAAAACAGAATTCTATCTTACTCATTTTAAACATGGTAAACGATCCACCTGCCTTGTCCCAGTCTTGTCTCACGCACGTAGGGTTATAGACATTATTTATATTTACTTTCTTTAAGAAAAAAAGTGTGTGTGTCCCTGGAAGTCAGGATAGAGGGGGTGTGGGAGTCCGGAAACTGAAGTTTCAGGCAGCTGTGAGCTGCCCAGTGTGGATACTGGGAACTGAACTCAGGTCTTCCTGAAGGTCAGCAGCTGCCCTTAACTGTTGAGCCATTCCCCCAGAATGTCACTCCATAGCCCTGGCTGACCTGAAAGTCAGTGTGTAGACCAGGCTGGTACAGCTGCCGCTGCCTCCTAAGAGCTGGGGTTAAAGGTGAACAGCACCACACCTCGTCTTCATGTTTATTCTCAGCCTGACCTTGGGGCCCATTGTGCTCCGTGGAGGATTCTCCTGTGGACGCTGCCTCACCCTCCAGCTGTGCCTCTCTCTAGGAAAGACTCAACCGCAGAAGCAGAAGGCTCAGAAAGGACCTTGGGGACCTTCAACGGCTTAAGGCTCAGGAAGAGGAGACGCTGCAGGCTCTGCAGGTGCATGTCTGAGTCCCAGGGATGATCTAGAGTCCTGAAGGACCTCACCTTTCACTGTGGACAGCTGTTTGTCCTGGGGCAGACTGTTGTGAAATTACGGCCATACAGGCTGGAAACCTGTTCAGTGCGCAGAGATTCTGAAGGAAGCCCTTCTTCTGCGGTTTCAGGTGGACTGGGGGCGTCACAGGCTAAGAACTAAGCTACAGAACCAAGACCACACCAAGGAGTGGCTGAAGGCCCTCCCTCGGCATTGGCTGGACCAACAAGAGGACCTACCAGTGGAGGTGGCCAAGACCTCTACCTTCTCCGAGGCGGAAACACAGCTCAGCATCCTGGTTTCTGGCCTGGAAAGGATGGCTAAGGAACTGGATGCCAGCACTCTGAAGGTGTATTTCCTAAGGTGTGTGTGTGTGTGTGTGTGTGTGTGTGCATGTAACGTGGGGAGGGTGGCTTGTCCAGGACCACACTATGATACAGCAGAGGAAGGCTCTTATGCCCTTCAGCTTTCATGGTGGCATACATAGGGTCCTTCAAGCTTGAGCTAGGAAGGGCATTCGGCAGTAAGAACCTATTAACTGACTGATTGCCACCCTTTCTCTCCCAGGATGCCAGTGACTTACTGGACAGGTAAGATCCCCTCTCTCTCTGTCCCACACTTGAAGACACATGCAGACCCACATGGCATAGACGTGTATATGGGCTAAGTCAATATCAAGGAGACATACTTGGCACTTTTACACTACATGGCCACTGGAAGACTGAGTAGAATATGTAAGAATTTATGAATGATTTGTTTGTTTTTAGGAGCGCCCCACAAAAATTAGAAGAACTCCTCTCTCATCTTCCTTCAGCCAGCCCAAAGTTCAGTTAGTTCTCAGTGTTCTCACCCACAGCTCTCACTGATGCCCTAACCACGGATGCTTGGATACAGTCTTCCTCTTAAGCCAGACTTGAGCTGTGGCTCTCACTGTTGTGGTCAGCATTTCAGACCTCCACCATGTCCTCCGCCACGTCCGGGGCCATTTGCACAGTCTCCACATAACCTGTGACCTGGTGGTGTCACCCACTGCCCCTGGTCTCATTCGAGCATCGAGGCATCTGGATGACACAGCAGAATGACACCTCAGCAGATGGAGCCCGGCAGGTTTATTGGGGGTGATATTTCTTCTGATTCTGAAGACTGGCTGAACCGCCCACACTGTTCATTCATTCTGACTGTGGCAGACAGACTCAAGGGCGATTTTCACAGTTCTCATGTTCATGTACATGTACATGTGTAGCTTCTGTGTAACTCTGCAGTGTGAGTGGCATCTGTGACTTGCTTCTCATCGAAGGAAGACAGCAGAAGTGATGGAGGTCACTGCAGTGACCACGTCTTCTTCCACCGGAGTCTTTCTTGCTAATAGAAGCATTCCAGAGACTCTTCTTGCCAAAGTTAGTGATGCTGAGGGGAAAGACATGTGGGCAGCTCCTAACTTCCCAGAGCAGCCTCCATCTCCTAGCTGACAGGAATCAGGGGCCTGGATCTCACAGTTTTGATAAATTCTCCCAACGCCGTGAGTAGAGCTGGAAGTAGATCCTACTGGGACCTGGAAGTGCCCCCGCTTCTCACTCTGCCCTGCCATAGTTTCCATAAAGACCCAAAAATGGTAGAAAAAAAATTCTCTTTTCTTGTTTATGTATCTGTTTTGTAATAAACCTTTCTATTATTTAAACTAATGAGTCTCTCTTCTTGGCCATAGAAAGCCTTTACCATGTAAGTAGGGAAAAATCAGAAGTTAAACCTGTGCATTTCAGGTAAAGTGTGCAACACCTCTCGGGGGTGTGATAAAGAGCAATTGGGAGCCTGGAGCTGTTAGACAAACTGTAGCTCTTTCTGGGAAAGCAAATGGAGCCTAACCCCAGCAAGAACAGCCTGGACGCTGATGGTCCCCTTACTGGGAAACCATAAAGCCATCTGCCTCTGTTAAAGGGAATAAGCTTCATGTTACCTGTGGAGGAGCATCGCTAGTGAGCTTCACTCACTAGCAGTTTTACTTTTCAGCTTAATAAATACAAATTGAGGGGCTGGAGAGATGGCTCAGCTGTTAAGAACTGCTCCTCTGGAGGGTCCCCAGCACCCACGTGGTGGCTCACAACTGCCTGAAACTCCTGTTCCAAGAGAAAACACTTCCTTTTGGCCTCCACAGATAACAGTACACACGTGGTCCACATACATGTATTTAGGCTTGAAAACACATAAAATAAAAGTAAAAAAAAAAAAAAAATCTTCTAAACTCAGGAAGCACAGGCAGGCGGATCTTTGAATTCAAGGCCAGCCTGGTTTACATAGTGAGTTCCAGGACAGCAGGGCTGGCTACACAGAGAAACCCTGTCTTGAAAAACAAAAACAAAAAAGAAAGAAAGAAAAACTGTATGCTCTTGGATGGGCAAATCACCAAATTTCACCAGGCCTCAGCTCTCTCCCACTCTTCCTCCTCTTCCTCATTCTCCCCCACCCCACACACATATGTGCTTGTCTCTCTCCTCTCCCTTTCAGCAGGGATTAATGTAACTCAGGCTAGCATCGGATCTGCTGTCTCACTGTGGAGCAGAGACTGACCTTGAACTCCTGATCTCCCTGCCTCTACCTGCTGGGGTACACACATACACTCCTGCACACAGCTGTTTCATTCATGTTGAACAGGGCATAGTAAAAACCAGGGAGACAGCTCAGCATAGAAAATGGCTGCTGTGTAAGCGTGAAGACTGAAGTTTGGATCCCCAGAACATGTGTAAAAGCTGCCTGTAATCTTAGAACTTGCAGGGAAGTCAGGAGAGCCCCCAAACCAACCAGCTCGCTAGGCTAACCAGAACTGGCGAGCTCCGGGCTCAGCAAGAGACCATGCCAAATAAGTAAAGTGGTGAGAGACTGAGAAAGACATCTGAGGTCGACCGCAGGCCCCACACATGCACACATATGGGTATGTGAACCCACACACGTGTACCCACACATGTAAACATATATACACATATGAAATAACCCACACATAAAAAGAAAAATGGGAAATGATAACAGAATATATCTCAGAGTTACCAAAATAAGCACCATAAGGGGCATGAAGTTTTATAGCAGGGAGAGAACTGCATGAACACATACCTTAAAGGTTCACAGTTATTTTAAATACTGAAGTAAAACCAATACAAAGAAACAGAACACAGTCCATTTCAGTGGAACATGAGGCTTAGGGGCTGTGAGTATGTTTTAGCATCACACAGACACTTGTATATGCCATTATTTTTTTTTAAATATATGTTTTATAGGGAACAATGAACACCCTGGAGTGGAGGATAGGCAATGGACCTTGGAAGGAGATTCCAAGCCTGGGCTGCAGGTGCCAGGCACCCTCTCCCTTAGAGTTGCTGGTTTGTCTCCTCACAGATGCGGTTTATGTTGAGTAAACAGCAAGATGTTAATAGATTGTCAGCAAGGGCAGATTTAGGTAGATCAAGTGCAGCCCCAATAAAAACTAAAAATTTCATCACGGCCACTCTGTAAAGTTAAAAAAAAAAGTTTTTATAGTGTATAAACTTTAAAGTACTATCTTGGGGTGATAGATGTGATTTTCCAAGTTGTAGGTACCCGTTATTGGTGGCCAGCCTGGCACCCAAATCATTTCCGGAAGGGGCACTTCTGGGTTACCCACATGACCACAGCACCCCACCCTCACCCAGCTTCCTGCATCCCATATAATTCTCCATGTCAGGCCAGTTCGTCTTTCTTGTTCTACCCCACCCCGGTAACCTTTGTCCATCTTTCAACTTGTTAGGCTAAAGGTGACAGGTCATCCAAATCATCCCTCAGCGTCCTCCTGGCAGAAGAGAACGGATAATGCTGTTTCCGTTCCGCCAACTGAGCTGCTTGCGACGAATTCTCTTCCATCGCCTCCTTTTTTATTTCAGCTCATAATCAGCTGATTGGGAAGAGAGTTTCCCCCAGGGAGTCAGTGTAGCCCCTGGGTTATGATTTAAACTTTCTCCATAAGCTGTCTTGGTCATAGTGTCTTATCATTGTAATAGAAAAAATAACTACAAAGACAAACATTTTGCCAGGAATCACTGGATTCTTCAAGTACCTCCTTTTTTTCTGCATTCAATGCTTTTTATTTTAATTTTATTGAACAGACAGGATTATCACACCCAGCAGCCCCAGTGAATTTTGCTCACACTGGTCTCAGTGGGGACAAGACCCTAAAATCACACCCCTGAAGATGCACTGTGCTTTGTTCTGGACTCAGAGCCTCTCCTGTAATGCCACTTACAGATGGCATTAGCCATTGCCCTCCCGGTGAGAAGACAGGAAAGAAGGAAGACAAATAGCACCCTTTGCACAACTTGACAATATTGTGAGGGTCCACTGTGCCCCTACTTTCCAGAAGGCTGCTAGTACAGTTTTCACAGGAGCCATCTCATTCTTCTTGGTAACACATGCCAGCCACCGGGGCTCCCAGGGGGTAAGTCTTGAGCCTTGAACTTGCCACAGTGATCTTCAGAGCTGTTGCTGAGGATGACTTCAGTGGCTTGTCCTACCTGGTGCAATAGCCAGAAGTAATGATGGTAGAAGCAGAGCCACTGGGAGGCCCAGAGCCACGTAATCCAAGAGGAGCGTGGCATTGACGCCCTGCTCAGACATCCACGGCACCAGTGGTATTGATCGCCTTTCATGTTGTCCACCAGAAATGGTGCCGCTCCCCGTATGGAGTCCTTCCTGCTGGGACCACCTTTCTTGGGTCAAGGACATCCCATGAAATGCGATGGGCCTTCTTAACCTGGGTGGCCGTCCACACTGTACCCAGCTCATCCACCTCCACCTGGTGCTGGGGCACCCATCTACCTCCTGCCGGCTCAGCAGCTCACCCACTGGCTGGAGCGGGTGTGAGAGCACACACTGCTCCCGGAAGTCCTGTGAGAAGCCATGTCAGGAGTATTGTGCGTGACGGTAGAGGATGTTTCCTTTTCAAGTAATATTTTTATTTTGTTCAGAATTTCATTCATGTACACAGTGTATTTTGATCATATCCACTCCTCCAAAGTGTTTCTTGAATATATGAATAAATCAGCCAACATCTTTGGAAGAAAACAAAACAAAGAGGCAAAGGGCTTGTTTGAAACCCTCAGCTGGCTGAGCCCAGGATCTCATCTGGGTGCAGGTCTGTAAGCTAGTACCCAGCTCTGCATGTACATCTATGTCTGCGCCCACTGATGACAATGGCAAGAATGGCCAGCGGCAGCCAAAGTCCCACTTAACCTGAGCATCTGATAGGTACTGGGGAAAGGCTTCAGCAGTGAAGGGACTGGAGGTGCGACCACCTCGCCCCCTTACTGATGCAGGCTGTCCCAGTTGTCTGGAAAAGCCACTTTTGTGCCCGGGGAACCAAAGTTCAGCTCCCCAGTGCTCGCTTCCAGCCCTGTGCTCAGAGGACAGAAGCTGCACCTTCTTGACAGCTCAGAGAAAAACTGGACCCTCTGCCCCAGAGTCCAAACAAGGGGAAGATTTCCCGAGTGAAGGAGGCAGTGAAGGTATAGATATGTTCCTGGGTGATGGCATTGACAAAGGTCACCCAGCCTACCTCGTAGTCGAGGGACACCCGCACCTTCCTGGGCTGCTCCTCCAGGGCCAGCCTTGTAGGGAAGGATCCCTGTGCTGAGACAAAGCCCCAGGCCAGTCTCACGGCCCAGATTCCCTCCTCCGGCCTCAGCCGCAGCTCTCCCTTCCGACGAACATCGTCTCTCACCACACCCACAGTGCAGCTGCCTCCGTGGGCCAAGTCGACCTTCACCACCCAAGTGTGTCTCCCCCCCGTAAAGCCACGTTGGGCCAGGACACAAGTGGCCCGATCAAAACGCTGTGGAGTATCTGGTGAACTCTGCCATTTGTAGGAGAACCGAGCCCTCTGGTGGTCTTCAGACAGCAGGAGCTTGGGGTGGGAAGTCTGGGGGTCTAGAGAGACACGCGCTGTGGAATAAGACAAGGAACAACATGTCTGCGGGTTGCTATATGGCCTACTGGACGGCCTAAAAGATCACCTCCATGCCTGCCCGCTAGTGCTAAACCATCTACGCAAACAGGACGTTGCTGGGCATCCAGGCTGAAGATCTGCGTCCCTAAAGGATGCCAAGGGGAAGCACTCACCGCCAGAAAAGCCAGACACCACGGGGACGCTGCCCTCGCCTGGCCTGCCATCCTCTGGGAATCTCCCGAGGAGCCTCGCGTGGGCACACCTCCTCCTCTGCACAACTGCCCTCACACTCTGCCTTCCTCGGCGTCCCCTCAAGTACTCCATCTTTGGACAGGGGCACGCCGATACTGACACACGCCCACTTTCACACATATCCTCCTCACAAGCTCCCAGCCAGCCTCACACACAACCTCCCTCACGCACAATCGGCCTCACACTGGCTTTCCTCACACAGCCAGTCCCACGTCTGCACACACCTGCCTTCAGAGCCTCCTCTACATGCAGCCTCCTTTAGCTGCCCTCTCCCTTATAGAGCCACCGGCACACACATTCACCCCCACACAGTTCCTCACACACAGGCTGCCGCACATGTGGCCGCCTTCACACAGCCTCACACACTCCTCCTCACACAAGGCCAGGCTCACACTCCATACACAGTGCCCCTTCACACATTCCATACTTCACATGTGGCCGCCTTCCCACACAGTCTCCCTCACACCCAGCCTCTTCACACAAAGTGCCCTCACATACCTTATACATAGCCATTTAAGAGCTTCTTCACACACTGACACACACACAGCCTCTCTCATATACAGTATCCCTCACACACGTGTCCACCGTCCGTCCCACACAGCAGCTCCCACACACACTCCCTTACACAGCCTCACACACGTGTCCACCGGCACACACAGCAGCTCCCACACACGGCCTTCTCACTAGCCTTCCCTCCCTAACAGCTTCCTCACACGCAGCCCCTGAGGACAGCTACAGTCACACACAACCACCCTCTCAGGCACGGCCCCCTCGTTCATGAACGCTCCCCACACAATCCCTTCACACGCGGCCTGGCTTTGTACCAGCGGTCCTCACACACTCACCACGCTCACATACATCTTCCGCGGCACAGCAGGTGTCCCGCACAGTGACCTTCACACACAGCCCTCTTCTCACGCACACGGCTGCGTGCACAGCTCTTCCTTCAGCCTTTTTCTCAGAAGCAGGCATTTTCCTCCTTTCAAGCCTAACCTGGAGCTTCCTCCTGTTCGCCCTGGAGTTATGTTTGCTTCTTCAGTTTAACGGTCGGACTCCACTCCTTAGAGCCCCGGTTCTCCCTAGATATTGCTATGCTTGATATTTCTAAGCTGAAGGAAGTTGGGCTGGGCATGGTGGCGCACACCTTTGATCGGAAGGCAGAGAGGCTGATGGATCTCTGTGGGTTCAGTGAGGCCAGCCTGCTCTACACAGAGAGTTCCAGGACAGACAGAGCTACATAGTGAGACCCTGTCTCAAAAAACAACAAAAAAATTCTAAGCTGAGAAAAGCTACACATTCAACTTATCCATGGGTGAAGGAGCCCTCCCACCATTCCATGACCAGCTCTCCTGGGCCTTTGGCTGGCAGGTGGGAGACTAACAGCATTAAAGGGTTCCTTCCTGTTTCTCCGTAGCCTGTTCTGTTTACATGATTTAAGAAATAACATCTGGGAGGAGCAGAGGTTTCTGACAATACTGAGAACGAACTCTAAACCCAGCAAAAGTTCCTTTTGTCCAGAAAGCCTTCCTTGACAGACTGTATCCACTTTTTTTTTTTTTTTAATCTAATCATCCTGTCCACTGTAGCTGAGCAGACCTGGAGACCAGATTTGCCAGTAATATGTCCATGCCCCCACTTCGTGGCTTATGTAGACCAGGCTGGCCTGGTTGAACTCTGTATGCAGCCATATCTCCGTATCTTTACGGTACTTCCAGGGCCTCTTGGCATACTAAGCTTCACAGAAGCCCAAGTACTTTACGTAAGAAGGCATATTACTTACATGTAAACTATACATACCCTCCAGAACATCTCAAATTACCTCTAGCTTGTTTATGTTGCACAATACAATGTAAATGGAAATAGTTGTTATTGTTACTACATTATTTAGGGAATAATTAAAGGGGGAGATCTTAACATATTCAACACAAAGCAGTGGTTTTCCACCTGGTGTTGAATGTGGGCTCTGCAGAGATGCTGTGTATGTGTACTTGTATACGCAAGTATGAATGCTACATGTCACATGTGTGTATTGTGTGTGTGAGTGTCCACATAATTATTTTAACACATAGTGAAGAAGCCAGGAAAACCACCTCTCTTTCTCAGGACTTCTTTGTTCTCCCTGTCCTAATGTGTGCTGCTTACCTGGCTCATAGTCCAACTCAAAGCAGAGCTTTTCTGTAAAGAGGAAACAATGACAAAATGAGATTTCATTAACCTCAAAACCACAGAGCACTCGGTGAGGAAAAGGTGGCTCAGAGGGGAAGGGACAGAGTGAAGATGGAAGCTGGAATCCTCTGGACCAGTGCTTCTAAACATGTGCTTGCATCCTAACCTCTTAAAGCACTTGCTTTTATTTCAAACCCAGACACTCTGGGACAGGGCTGCAGATATGCATTCTTACAAGGGGTTATGATGCTCCTGACCTGGAGCCCAGGAAGAAGCCTGCTACCCTGCCCCTGAGCAGACAGGGACTATGTCTGCCTTGCCTACCTCTCTACCTTCACATATTCCTACCGAGGAAATAGGTAGGTTCACTTTTTTTCCCTTCTACTTGGAAATGTTTGGGCCAGCCAAAAGTCGCCCTTTGATTAAAGTAAAACTTCCTCTACTGTCTAGCCTGTGGGAGTACTTGCAGGAAGTAGGCTTCCAGGAATGTCCTCTCAGGGGAATGCTTTTGTGGGTGTGACATTTAGAAACAGGTGACATTGTTCATGATGTCACAGTCCATGGGGAGCAGAAAGCCATATCTTACGTTTCAAACTTTCCTGGTTGGCTGCCATTATGACTCCTTCTGGGAATGGAGTGGGGGGTGAAGTCCCTATGAGGGTGTCTCAGTTTGGATAGCCAGACCAGTAAAAAGAGGCAGGGGTGGGGGGAAAGGCTGGAGACATAGGGCCTGTCATACACAGGCCCTGGGTTCAACTTTCAGTAGTGCAAAAGAGGCAGGAAGAGCAGCTTCCACAGTAAGGCAAATGCTGTCACTGGCTATAGTTAACCAGGTTAAAAAACAAAATGCACCGAGTGACACACGCTGCTGAGGGCTTTTGGTGATGGAGAGGAATGGGTGTTGTTAATCATTGTCTTCTCCAGGACTTCGTGTGACCTGGTCAGATTTGTTTAATAGGATAACCCCCAGTCCCCAAAGCTTCACTTTTATTCTTTCTCTTCCCTGCTGCGTCACCCTGAGAGTTAGATTTTATCAGACTTGGCATATAAGAAATTCAAGGTACTAAAGGAGATGAGACTTGCCAGAATACACAGCACAGTCATTTGGCGGTGGAGTCAGAGGCCACATCCAAGCCTGGGTGCACACTGGCATGCTGTGAGGATGGGGTCCCCTTACCCAGAAATGTCTTCATCTCCTGCTGCAGAGGGATGGCCTGTTGGGGGAAGTCCCGGATCCTTTGGCCCAGCTCTGGGGATATAGCCTCGGGTCTCCGGCACTTCCTGGTTTCACATCTAGAGGCGCAGAAATGGCAGAGTCTGGGAATTATTCTGTTTTTAAAAAAATCCTTAATTTTATGTGTATTTATGTGTGTACATCACACGCATGCAGGGCCCATGGAGACCAGAAGAGGGCATAGGATTCACTGCGTATGTGCTGTTATGTGGGTTCTGGAACATGAGCCCCAGGTCCTCTCAAGAGCAGTAAGTGCTCTTACCCAATGAGCCAGCTCTCTAGCCCTCCAGGTTATTCTTTCTTAATGACCTCCCAAGACAGCCATCTTCTTCTAACAAGGCTTGGAGCAGCAACTTCCCACACAGAGTCCATCCTCTCAGATGGGCATCACTGCCACCCAAGTGGGTAGATACACAGCAGTATATGAGAACACACTTGAACATGTGTAGATGGACACATGGCTGTGTCCTTAATGTGAGAATGTGGCTTATTTGCAGGGCAATGGCTAGGTGTATGAATGGACATCTATACGCAAGAAAGAAATAGACATTCACCACTAACCTTATTAGAGTGCTTCTAATATCCTGGGAGGAAGGAGAAAAAGAGGGAGGGAGAGAGAGAGAGAGAGAGAGAGAGAGATTCAGTCCTGGTTTTACTCTCCCACTTTTGTAATGACCACAAAACACAAAATACCATATTCGCAGCCTTGGACATGAGGACCAGAAGCAAGCTCCTTTGCTTCGTGGACAGAGTTGGTGTTGTGGCCTACTTCTCCTAGCTTTAGGCAAAGCTAAACAAGTCCTACACCAAGGCGTCTTACTTCCCAGGATCCAGTGGATCCCTAAATCATGCTGCTGGAACCCAACCACTCTCCTCCAGTTCAAGGAAGTAAAACAGTCTCAAAAGGACTTCCGGCCAGCGGAGGGCCACTCGAGGCATAAAAAGCTTTTCCTTTGGAAACAGCACGTGGCAGTTGTTTGGTGCTCTGAAGAGCAACTTCTAGCTCATTTCGCTCTTGGATCCTCATTTCTTCCCCGGTCTACGGATGGCAGGGAAGAAAGACCAAGATCAGAGAGCACAACAACCAGGGAACTCTTGGGGAAGCTCAGACTAGACGTTGACCCACCCCCTGGCCCTGTGTTCCACATCCCGTCTGGGGTGCAGAGACCTGGATGTGAAGGAGGTACTGATCAGGCAACGACTCTGGAGACCCCTGGGGGGCACAGTCCTCACCGTGAGGAGCCCCCGAGCTGGCCGCTTGTTCTTCTCCTCCAGCTCCTCGATCAGGGTGCTGAACCGGCAGATCTCCCTGGTGGTCAGGGTATCAAACTCTTCCTGTTGCTTCAGGATGTCCCCATCCAACCTCTCCAGCTGTGCTAAGAGGACGCTCTGTTGTCTGTCTAGGAACTGGCTCAGATGTGCAAACTGCGAAATCACCTGTTGTCTCTTGGTGGCCACCTGCGTCTGAGGAGGAAAGACAGAGCCCAGGAGGACATTTTCCTCCCCCCACATCAGACTCTTCACCCACCCTCCCCTGCCCCTAGTCCTCCTCTTCCCTGAGCATCTCCTCCCCATTTTTCTTCCCTTTTTTATATATTCCCACTTCCCTGTTGATCTATCCCACACCTCCCAATGTTTGGTGGTAAAACCTGTTCCTTGACTCCCATAGGAATGTGGATCTGTGCTCTTGCTGCCTGCCACTCCATCTCTGGTAGCTACACAGCCTGGCATTGCCCCACTATTGAAACTGTGGCTCAGGAAGACACCAGAGATGCCGGGCCTCTTGCCCTAAGGGAAGCACACATTGCATACACACCACTACGTGGTTAGAGGCCGGATTACACTAGTTCCTGTGGTGATTCAATGAGGAAATGAATCCCAATCTCCATTTTACAGATGAGTGAGCTAAAGCTAGAAAGCGACTCAAAATGTAAGAATTAATGCCAGAGTCAGGATTTAAATTCAAAACATAAGTCCCTATCTGCTCTGTGGCCTCAGAGTCTGGAGGAAGGGGCTGGACCTGGGGAGCATGGAGACATACCAGGAGTACCTGTATTCTTCTGTTTTCTCTTGATTGGATTTCTTGAATCTCTTCTCTCTCTTTTCTTAGACACACAAGGCACCTCTGTATTTGTTCCTGGGTAGAAGGAACATAACATTCTAAGACGGAGAAAGTAACTGCGAGGGATGGTACTCCCTTCAGTCTGTGGACGTGAACTGCCCTGGAGATGAGTGGGAACCTCAGGTCCTTGAGAGACACGGTCTCCTTCCTTGTTCTAACTTTGAGACTGGATCTCATGTAGGCCAGACTTACATCAAACTCAGGATCCCCTGCCTCAGTGTTCTAAACATTAGGGCCACAGGTAAGCACCACCAGACCTGGCCTTGAGTCTTGTTCCTCTTCTCTTGTGCTCCAAAGATTTTTGAGCAGGGTTTCCCCCTTTTCATGTGCCATCAAAGGGCATGGCTTTTCTTCCTCTTTGAGCCCTTCTTCAGGTCAAACAACTACCTTCTTTTGCATCTGGCTAGTATTACCTATGATCTGGACTCCGCGTGTTCTTTGTTGAAACTAAAATTATGTCACCCAGAAAAAATACCTACAGAGGAAATAACAGCTCTTCTCTTACTAGAACCAATTATCTAGAAATGATACGAGGTGAGAAGAAATTTAGATGCAAAAATAATTGATGCCCTGTTTTATAAATTGTTATAGGGGTTAGGAACAAGCAAACATAAATACCCACGTGTGTTTAAAAATACTCTTAAAAAGCTGGGGTTATAGCTTGGTTATTACAGTGCTTGCTTAGCATGCGAGATGCCCTGGGTTCAGTTCCTAACCGTGCATTAAACACGGGTGACAGTACACATCTATAATGCTAGTGTTCAGAGGGTGGTAGCAGGAGATCAGACATTCAAGGTCATCCTAAGCCGTATAATTAGTATGAGACAAGCTGGCTTGAAAAAAAAGAGAATACGTAAAGAAATCTCACTATCAAAAATCATTAATAAAATGCTATAATAAATCATCAATCATTAATATCAAAATCATTAAAAAATCTATCAAAAATCATTAATAAAATGCTATAATAAATATTTATAAATGTAATATAAATATTTATACGTATAGAAGTATGCATACAAATGCCTGCTTCTAACAAGATACAGTATAAAAGCAACTGAAACTAGCAATGCACTCGTTTAATGAAAAATAAAAGTATACGCCACAAATATCCACCCAACTAGCTTATTCACAGCAGGAGCTTTCCGTTTCGTGCCCCAAATGCAACACACCCAGACCACCCCTCCACAAACAAGGCATTGCCTAAAATACAAACCTCAAACGCACTTAACTGACACAGGACACACGCACGTTTGATGGCTCGTTCATTCAGAAAGCATCCACTGAGCACCTGTTACTTATGGTCCACAAGGAAACAACAGAACTCACCCTGTGCTTGTCTGTCTATCGCCTCGGTGATCAAGTCAGTAAGGAGAAAGAATTTGGAGTCAGGAGACCCCTTCTACTCCAGAACCACAGTGCCCTTCTGCTTCCCTAAGTCCATCCAGCTCCCCCGAGGGTCCCCCAGAGTGCTCTCCTACCCGGTAGGGGCCCGCTGCATCCTCCAGGAAGCGCACGGTGTGAGCCCGGTGCTGTCCGGCCTCACGGCACACTACACACAACTGTGCCTCGTCCTCCTCGCAGAAGAAGTAGACCTTCTCCCCGTGTTCAGGACAGGCATCCTCCGCCTCCAGGCCTCGCGTGGACGCCAGCTGAAGGCGCTCGATGTTCTCCACCACACTGGCCAGCTGCCAGTTGGGACGGAAGCTCCCTGGGCGGAAGGGCTCTTTGCAGAGCGGGCAGCTGAGGGACTCCTCCAATTCTGGGCCTGGGATCTCGCAGTAGCGCGTGAGGCAGCCACGACAAAAGTTGTGGCCACAGTCAATAGTGACTGGCTCCCTCAGGGTGCCTTGGCAGATAGGGCAGTTGACCTCATCCGCCAGGCTAGTCACAGAAGGAGCTGAGGCCATGTCAGCCTCCTGGAAGTCACCGTCTCAGCTTGACGGGAAAAATACGCTCCACACACACCCCGGGCCTGAACACCGACATAGTCGTACAAGGGGCCCAACTGCATCTCTGGCACCAGGGGCCCCTTGTTCTCTCTCCTTCCAACAGCAGAGAGGAAGAAATAGCACTAGAGGAAGGCCCAGGAGCTCACAGCATCATCTAGAGACGCTGAAGTTACCCTCTGGACCAGTTCCCATGGCCTAGGGGGCTCTCCGCCTCTTTCTGTCCCCCAAGAGCTGCTCACAGAACAATGAGAGTGTTTAGTGTCTCAGCAGGCCACTTCTTGGGGGCAGGGAGGAGCCTGACTCTGAGCTGCCACCCCAGCTCTGCACCAAGCCACCTGTCTCCAGGGAGATTGGAGGTATCAGCCAGCACAAGGCTGGTGGGCAGGGGAGTGTGGGGACTCAGATAAGGCTCTGAGCTCGGGTGTGCACAGCACAAGCAACTGTGGTGATGCCTCCACAGGCCTACGACAGGTTTTTAGAGAGGGCCGGGGTCAAAAAAATGCATGGGGAAATAGAGCAGCATGCTTTTCCTTCCTTCCGTCCTTCCGTCCTTCCTTCCTTCCTTCCGTCCTTCCTTCCGTCCTTCCTTCCTTCCTTCCTTCCGTCCTTCCTTCCTTCCTTCCTTCCTTCCGTCCTTCCTTCCTTCCTTCCGTCCTTCCTTCTCTTTCTTTCTTTCTTTCTTTCTTTCTTTCTTTCTTTCTTTTCTTTCTTTCTCTTTCTTTCTTTCTTTCTTTCTTTCTTTCTTTCTTTCTTTCTTTCTTTCTTTCTTTCTTTTCTACCATGACTACACATCTCCACTGATAGAATAAGGCATTTTAAACAGTTTATTTCTTCCACCTCTGCTCTGTCACATCCTGCTGTTTGGACCTCCATTTTGCAGCTCCACCAGGTTACCTCACCTCATTCAAGGTGAACAAACAGAGCCAAGTGACTGCGATCTATCTGCAAGTCAAAGCTGTGAGTCTTCCCAGCAATGCAGCTGAGCAGAAACGTAAGGCACAGCCAGGCATGGTGGCACATGATCTCAGCATATGGCAGACAGCAACGGTAGAGTCAGGAATCTCCGCTCGCGCTGCAGCTTGGAGGCTAGCCTGAGCTACATGAAATGTGAAACAGAAAAAGAAACCAGGGAAAGCCATATCTGCATATAGCAGTCTAAAAGTTTCTAATTGCCAATGTGCGCTGAACCCTGACGGAACAGAGATACAAAGGGACATTATTGAGACATCTGACAATAAAGTCACTAATAGATTGCTAAATTTACTCTTTCAGCTATCTAGTTGTAATTATGAATGCGGGGGTGTATTGTGGCATGAATGCGGAAATCAAAGGACAGCTTTGTGTACTTGGTTCACAAGTGGGGATAGACTTCAGCTCGGTAGCAGGTGCCATTACCTGGTGAGGCATCGTGCTGCACCATGTTAAATTTCTTAACGGTGCTGTGGTTGTGAGGAGGAATTTCTTATTCTGAGGAGATGTATGTTGTAGTATTTGTGGAAGAGAGAGCAGGTGGCCTAATAGTTACAAAAGTTGAAAAGCGTGAAGGTATTCATGCTTCAAGGTATTCATTCCTTCAAAGTATCAATAAATTTGAATGTTTCTCATAATGGGTGAGAAAATGTAAAAAAGAGAGAATAAATAGTATATCTAAGTTAGTCCAGTGTTTCTAAAACATTATCTGAACATATAGTCGACATAAATACTGGCAATATTCACATTTCTCGGTGTTTATGAGAAGTCTTTTATACGTACAGCCCATCGCAGCCTGGCTTGACCACACACCACTGCTCAACAGAATCAGAAGCTATTCTAGGGTGTATTGTCGAGGGGGGAGAGATGGTAGGAAGGGGTGGAACATGCAAAGTAGGAGGAATGAAAAGGGCTGGTGAGCAGGGGGGCCTGATTCTGTCCGCAGGGCTGGCAGGACCCTGGCAACTCCATCTTTGTCTCAGCCATGGGAAGAGCACAGGGCTGGAATCCAAACACCCCAGCTGTCCCTAGCCTGTGGCGATCAAAGTCTCCGGCCTTACAAATCCTTTTTTACCTTTCATCCTGTATGTCTCCACAGCTGTCTCAGTGGGTGGTTATGAAACTGGTTGTTCTGGAGTCATTTCTAAGGGGCTGAATCACATGTTGCTGGAACTAGAAAGATGGCTCGCAGTTAAGAACTTGCTGTTTTTGCAGAGGACTTGGGCTGGGCTCTCAGCACCCACAGGGAGGCTCACCACCATGTGTAACTCCAGTTCTAGGGGATCCAGCGCCCTCTCCTGCCCCCTTAGGCCCGCAGTGGTGCCCAGACATAAAGGTGGACAAAGCAATCACACACATAAAATAATTACAAATAAAAATAAATTAAAACATAAAATTAAGGGGCTGGAAAGTCAGTCATTAAGAGTAGTAGCTGCACTTTCAAATAGGATTCCCAGCACCCCATGTTGAGTAACTCACAACTGCCTGCAACTTGAATTTCAGGGGACCCATTTGAGAGAACCCAACATGCACACACATAAAAGTTAACTTTTTTTTTATTAAAAAAGAAACCCTAAAATTGAAATTCAGGATCATCAAGGCTCTATGTGGTATTCAGCATGGCCGCTAGGAGTACAGGAAAGATGGCACCAGCAGCAGAGGCAGATGAGGAGGCAGGAAGGGCGGAGGAGGGGACCGTGCCTGTGCACCTGCAGTTCGAAGCCAGTCTCAGCACCACAGGCTGGACTTTGATGCCACCACAGGCCTCCTAGGACAAATTATGTGTCTCACCTGCTCAGTGTGACAGGAAGCTGTTCCTCCCCAATGGTCCCACCCCTCTGTGGCCAGGAGATTCCAGGAAACCTCATTTCCGAGTGACCTCATGGTGCAATACGCTGCTCCCCGCCCCAGGGACAGAAGGAGACAGGAGTGAAGAGTTAGGTCACCTGCCTGCCACTGGGAAACGCTGGGTTGTCAAGACGCCCTGGAGTTTGGACCTGCCTAGCTGCCCAGGGTTCTGGGCGTGCCTGAGGCGGAGCCGGGTGACATTCCTGCCTTTCTTTCATCCTCTATTCCTTTGCCTCTGTGACAATGACGTACTTTAAAGTGACTCAGTTTCAGGGAAAGGAAATCAGAGTGGACGGAGGAGGCAGAAGACTGTGTGAACGAGCAGGGGAAGGCACGGTGATGCCCTCAACCCGGTCCTTGCGGGGACTCCACCAAGTAGCCTGCCCTGCCTGCACCCGGCCGCTGAAGGATGCGGTGACCACAGCCTGCGGACACACTGTCTGCCTACTTTGCCTCCCACACACCCCCATGGGGGCCCGGCTGCTGTGCCCGCTCTGTCAGGGGAAAGAAGAGGAGCAATCTCAGGCCCCAGCGGCCCCGGTGCCCCTGGGTCACCTAAGCGAGACCCGCTGCGAGGAGCACGGAGAGAAGATCTATTTCTTCTGCAAGACAGATGCGGAGCTGCTCTGCGTGTTCTGCAGGGAGGGCCCTGCCCACCAGACGCACACTGTGGGCTTCCTGGATGAAGCCATCCAGCCCTACAGGGTGAGGAGCCGAGGCTCTGCTTCGCGGGGGACAGGGTGGTGACCTGCGGTGGGTGAGTGAAGGAGAGGGGACAGCGAGTCGCTGTCCACAGATTCCTCTCAGCCCTCCTCTTTGCTCCTGGTCTCCCTGCTGGCACACACCTCACTACACACTTTCTGTCCCCATAGTGCCACCCAGCTCATTCCTGCCCTAGATGATAGTGAAGGTCAAGGGTTAGGCTTCTGTGAGCTTGAGGCCCTCAGCCTGTGTCCACAGCGCGGGACACAGTGTTTGCCAGTCAGATTATTCACTGACACGCTCTCCTTCTGTTATCTTCTCTCCCACAGGATAGGCTCAGGAGTCGGTTAGAAGCTCTGAAAAGGGAAAGGGACAAGATGGAAGATAGGAAATGTCAAGAAGACCAGAAGCTCCAAGAAGTTCTGGTAAAGGCCACACCCTTGGCTGTCTGTTCCTTTGTTTTCTTAGGTACAGGCCTCAAATTTACTCCTAAACTATCCTACTATCTCCACTTTCCAGGCACAGGGATTACAGGCACGTGCCACAATCCTGTTTGTGCCTAACGGGGTCCGCAGCCCAGGGCCTTGTGCATGCTGGGCACAAACTGAATTATATTCCCATGCTGCTCCGTCGGGGGTTTCCTTCAAGACAAGGAAAGTCTGTCAGGCTGGTATCCATTACTGAGCTGAAAAGAACTTCAGATTTTTCTGACTCATCTTCCTGAAGCCTCCCTCGTAATGGCATCTAGTGTTTCAGGGCGGAGCTGGAGGCGGTTCAGGTGTCTTCAAATCCGAGGCATGGCTTATTCTTCTCCTACACGGGGGAAAACTGAGTCCATAAAAGTGGTGCTCCTAATGCCATGTGGCATAGCCCAGATCTACAATGAAGTGTCTCTGACCTGGGTCCACGGCTCTCCTGGCCCAGTGTCTCCAAGGGAAACATCACCTTCAGCTGGGAAAGCCTGTGATGGGTATGATTAACCGTCTAGGTTCAGGTTCTGAGGACAGCAGAGCAGATGCATGAAGCAGCTACATTTGGCTGCTTCTCTCTGCTTCCTTCATGAAGCTATACATGCAGCTCTTCCAACTTCATCCGGTAGATCTTGTAGCTTCCCTAACATGGGATAATAGTATTCTTCATAGCATTCTTCATGGCATTGTAAACTGTGTAAGAAATAACCAGGCGTGGTGCTTGGCACGGGTCCCTGACACACAGGATGAGCACCACAATCCTGACCCATATCTGCTCCAACTTGGAACTCAGGCTGGTCTCTGCTCTCCACTCTCAGTCACTTGGGGCAGAGCCCATTTAAGGATACAGCTGAACAGAGCAGTCAGAGCAAAGGAGCTGGCCGCAAGGTCCTCCTTACCTCAGTCAGGAAACATGAATACATGGAGCCCCAGGTTGCACTGAACAGAATGGAAGTTGCGATGCACACG